TCAGAGACCGTCAACAGATGATGAGCCTAATAAAGGACCTTCACGCTGACTACCTACCTCAAGGGCATCAACAACCCCTCGCAGATCATCACGGTAATCCCCACTTAGGAATACATTGCCAGGAAGGCAATCCCGGACTATAAGACGATCACCTACACACAGGGCGCCATACAGACGCACCACGCAGATCGCCATGCAGAACGCTACACAGATCTCCAAGGATATTCAACAGGACATGATGGCGGACTGGACCTAGCGTCACCCTAGAAGAGAAAGATCTTCGTCGGCACAAAGACTGAGGGACATGTAACGAAGTTCAAGAGGGGTACTCTTGTCCTAATTCATCAATGGCATCCACGACGGGATTCTCATAGATGGATATATCTACATCAGAAGACTCATGGCCATATAGAGATCTTCACTTACATCACAGATCTGCAGATATTCACACTGGCGTGGTTCAGCAGCAGCCTTGCTAAGGCTAGGAAACTACAAAATCGTCAACGACTCCCTGGGTAGAATTTACAACAAAGTTCAGCATCAACTCTACAATTCCGACATTTCATTGAGATCGATGTATGCAGTCTACAATAACAGCACTGAGGACGTGAAGATTTCAGCTGATCATCTGTATAAAAGGGCGACTACATTATCTTCAGGACTGAAGTACCAGTCACAGCAGCCAGGAAAACAGCCTACCTACATCGGTATTACGCGGCGAAATATTTCGCGCGTTTACCATTCAACCCTCGATACACGTGGTCACTTGTGCAACTCCGGAAGGCTATGGACAAGACCGAGTGGTGATAAGATATCAACGGCGGCACTAGATTCTACAAGGACCTTTTTCCTGCTACGTCGGTGACGTCACATCGCGGCAAGCCAAAGGAATCAAAATGCTTTATTTTGATTGGACCATGAGAGACAACGCCCTGCGCAGAGGTCGGACGTAGTTCACATGTCAGGAAATGGGTTACAAGTGACAACAACCTGTCAACGAGAGAGGAAAGCCTCTATTACAGTCCAGTTAGACGGGACCTAAGTGATTTGACTGCCTTCACGGGTTTAGATACCTTCCCTGTCAACATTGAAGACAATTCATCAGACGAATTACAGCAACATACGTTGGAGGACTTTGGGTGACGGCAGCCAGACTACTTTATATCGACTTCACAACGATGGCAGTCACAGAGTCGGACAAGCACTACTCTCTCCGTTATTACTACGAAGTGGCAGAGTCTGTTGGGTCTTCTCACGTCAGCACAGGACATGACACGCAGAGGGAGTCTACATCTACGCCCACTATAGGTCTTCCTGAATATACAACTGTACAATCCGGACCCCTTCGGACTCCTGGACAGACTAAAACCATATCTAATATGGTGGACTCAGAGATCGGATGGTCGCAGACGCACCTATTTTAGCAGAGCCGGAGTGCAAGATGCATCTCTATGTGAACGCATCTCTCTAAGGTTGGGGAGCACACCTTGACAACGAAGTGTCAGCTGGGATATGGACCATAGAAGAGAAAGGTCTGCACATCAACATGCTGGAAATGAAAGCAGTCGTAAACGCCATACTCCACTGGACCAACATTCTACAGAATGCTCATCTGATGGTGCACACGGACACCTCCACAGTGGCGTTCAACATAAAGAAGCAAGGATCAACACGGTCATCAAACCTCCTGGAACTCTGCTTTCAACTGTTCAACTTAACAGACGATCTGAACATCCACTTAAGAGAATGCCACATTCCGGGAGCCAAGAATGTGATAGCAGACGCCCTCTCCCGTCCAACGCAGCCATCTCCAACAGAATGGATGCTACATCCAGAGATCTTCAAACAGATCATCCAAGAGATGGAAAAACCGCTAATAGACCTCTTCGCCACGAGATTCAACAATCAACTGGCAACATTTGTCTCACCAGTACCAGATCCACAAGCATGGGCGACGGATGCTCTAAGCATATCCTGGGAAGGACTAAACGCGTACGCGTTTCCACCGCCAACTCTAATACCAAGGGTGTTGCAGAAAATCAGCCAGACAAAGAACCTCCAACTGATTTTGGTGGCGCCCTACTGGCCAGCGAGAGTATGGTTCCCCATTCTCATACAAGAACTAGGACCACCTCAACTGCAACTACCAGAGTGGAGGAATCTACTAGTACATCTTCACACAAAGCAGGCGCACTTCAATCCAGGGGTGTTCCGACTACACGTGTGGACTGTATCAAGGCGTGCTTGAATAAGAGAGGATATTCCGCCAGGGCAGCGAAAGCAGTAACACTAGCTCTACGCAAGTCTACACGCAACTTGTACAAAGACGAGTGGCGAGGCTTCGAGACGTACGCTGCAAGGAACGGGTTTACAGCCATAAAAGCGACACACCCCTTCAAGTGGCGGACTACCTTTGTCACCTACGGCAAGCAAAGCGTTTCAAAGGGTCAACACTCTCAACATACCTAGTGGCATTGAGCTCAGTCATCACCATGAGGAGAGGTGCCAAGCTAACGAAAGTACCAGAGTTACTGGCCTTACTACGCTCTTATAAATTGGAGGACCAACAACAGAGATTCAAAGCTCCGACGTGGGACCTCAACGTTGTTCTACGACATCTCACCAGTGACGTCTACGAACCATTAGAGAGGACATCCTTCGAATTCTTGACACATAAGACACTGTTTCTGCTAGCCCTAGCAACAGCAGCAAGGATGTCGGAAATACATGCTCTGGACTACGAGAGAACGCGCTTTGATGAAAATCAAAACACCGTGCATATGGGACTGCGATGAGACTTCATAGCAAAGAATCAACTGCCAGGTCAACCGGACAGACAATTCCACGTCCCAGCATTATCATCCGTCCTTGGACCACACGATACGCAGGACCTATCATTATGCCCAGTAAGAGCATTGAAAGTATATCTACAAAGATCCAGGATCAGGAGACAGAAATTCAAGCGTCTCTTCATCCCGATATCAACAGCGACACAGACAGAGGTCTCCTGCACTACGATATCAATCTGGATCAGAACTGTCATACTACGGACCTACAAAGCAGCAGGACTTGATCCTCCAAAAGCCTCAAATCCACACGAAGTTAGAGCTCTGGCGTCTACACTCGCTCTACATGGGAATTGCTCGATCTCGACAATAACGGAGGGCTGCTTTTGGAAATCGGACATGGTGTTTGCAAACCACTACCTGAGGGACATCGACACCGAGGACGTTTCCGGCATTCACCATTTCGACCCGTTTGTTGTAGCACAATAATTGACAGTCCCATAAAGGCGCTGAGATGGAGTCTCGCCCTTTTATCACATGACTTGCAAAAGCCTACACTCAGGAGAGTTCAGCTTTAGAGTCTATATGCACGTCTCGGACAGTCTAGCATAAGTGATATGACCCAGTACTTGTAAGGACATACTCGTACAGGTAAGGGTCGCTTCTCCACTTGATGCTCGCATCAAGAGATGGAGTTGCAAAATCCACATAAAATGTTAACAGAAGCAAGGACCAAAAGTTAACAATTGTGGTCCCTCCATCAGGGGAAGCTGTAAGTGAAAGGTTACAGCAGCAGCTGAGCCTAGCAGTAAAAGAAGTGCTACCAGGAAGTTCTCATTTCGGGCCTTTGGTTGTAGCACAACAGTTGACAGTCCCTTAAAGGCGTTGAGACGAAGTCTCGCCCTTTTATCACATGACTTGAAAATTACCTACACTCCGGAGAGTTCTGCTTCAAGTCTAAATGCACGTCTAAGGACAAGCATAAGTTGATAGGACCCAGTACTTGTAAGAATACTCGTACAGGAAAGGGTCGCTTCTCCACTTGGTGCTTGCATCAAGAGATGGAGTCTCAAAATCCACATAAAATGTTAACAGCAGAAAGGACCAAACGTTAACTATTGTGGTCCCCCCGTCAAAAGACAGCTGGAAGTACAGGGTCGCAGCAGTAGCAGAAACTAGCTGTAAAATAGAAGTGCCAGCAAGAAGTTCCCGTAGGGGGGTATATATGACGTAAATCACTACATGAAATCCAGAAGTAGCTTAACCCACCACCAAATCCGACGGATTCTACAAGCAAATAAGCATGAGTCAGGATAAGGAAAAATATGTGATTTTCTGAATAAAATTGATATTTTATACTTATCCTGACTCATGAGGTAAGCCCTCCCAACCTCCCCGCTAGACACTTTGGATTTCCCTGCAAATTTAAGTGTCGGGCTCATAATCAGGAGAGAGTGAAGCATGTGGGAACGGTGGCGCCACAGTTTCCCGCCAAACGGCTCAACAGATAACTCTTGGTGGGTAGTGATTTTACGTCTGTTTTTATTGAAGGGAGCTTCAATAGGAGATACAAGTGTTCCACCAACATTCGCAAGAGGAAGGAGACAAGCAAATAAGCATGAGTCAGGATAAGTATAAAATATCAATTTTATTCAGAAAATTACATCACTGCTGGGATACTTTATTACAATCAGACAAGAACTACCGGGGATATTTTCAAATAACGGCATATGATGGGCATCCACCCTTCCTAATGTCCCACTGATTAGGTTGAAGAAATTCTGCCAGGGTGGACAGTAGCCCAGTCCCCGTGTCTGTCACGGTCGAGGGAGCAGAGGCTGACCAGTTTGCAGCTAGGTTTCGTAATTAGACTGTTGGCTGGAAACAATAATCGCTCTGGATCAGTGGCCCTTTAACATTGGCAATTTATAAGGGCTGTCAAACGTATAGGTAGGTGTTAACATCGCCAACCTGCCTAAATATGCAGGGAATGTCCAGTATGCAAAGACTAATCTTAATGCAAGGGCCTATAAAGTATGTAGTACTGTGCTATATGCAAAGACTTGCCTTAATGCCTTAATGCAAAGGGCTGTCCATTATACAAGGACTATCCTAAAGGCAGGATCTATCCAATATAGATAGTACTAATGCACCACAGCCTGATGAAACTTATAAAGAGACTGAAGTTCTGAAGTTCCACTTTTTACCTTACAGGTGTCACTGACAGGTGTGTCGATGCCTGGTGGAGGGATTGCTGTTCCTGTCCCCATCACAATGATCAATAACAACTCCTCACTGCTCCAGAACCAAGGCATCCTAGTCAGCTCACTGCCCAACATGGCCGCCTCAGTGACGTCTGCTCCCACAGACTCGTCAGCAGCGTCAGTTTCACAGTCATCTAACCAGGTCAGTTGAATTGAGTTGTGAAGGGTTCTATCCACTTCAAGGCCTGTGTAAAGAATTAATGCTCCATAAATATAAGACATTATCAAAATTACTTCTTGTAGAAATCCTCCAAAAATTCACAGAATATGTCTTATTGCTGATTTGACATATACTGAACAAAAAGAAATTTGGGATCATTAAGGTTTTGTTGGGATATTCTTTTACGCTGAAAACTCAGCACAATTTCATTAAAAAATCCCCAAAAATACGAATAATACCCAAACTGCTTTTGTTCAGTACAATTTAGAAATGAAAGAAACATGTAGAATATGAACATCTTCCAAAATTTACAACAGTTAATCTACCTCTAAGGAAAGGATGTCATTTTCTTGTGTTATACTTCCTAGTCAACAAGTGTGGTCACCTCCCCCCATTCCTTTGTCACCATGGTAACGGCTCTGCCCTCTACAACTGCTTCCTCAACTACAGCCACGAGTACATCTGTGTCATCTACAGTCGTCATGTCAACAGGTAGGTCACCATAGTTACACCTTAAATCACTTATTAAACTAGAAGACTTGTGTCCATTTTATGTTTCATGTTCATTTGTATTAATTCAGTTTTTACATGTTTATATCTTGTCAGATTCTGGACTGAATGTGTAACCATTGTTAAATACCCCATGGGATCACTTCCATGAATCAGTCTGTCAGAAATCATTCAATGCACAAGTGTACAATGATATCAAGCTCAACAATTCAGTGTGTCATTATTTGTAGTGCAATAGTTTTGAAAGTTGATGTAGTTCTCCTCATATTGTTCTGGTTGTATGTAGAAGAACATTTTTCTTCTTTAAAGGCACTATGTCACACCACACTTCTCTAAAATATACAATGCATTTCTCTGAATAATACTAACTATCAGCCCTCAGGGAAACTACCATATAATTTATTCCAAAAGAATTATGTACAGTAAAGCCCCGTTAGTCCGGACTCCGATAATCCGGATGTCTCGCCTCCCGGACGATTTCAGCTTGTTACCAATCTATGCCTATATAATTTGCCTCGATAATCCGGAAATTCGGTTTCCAGAACCGGACGGTAAGTAGCTGTCACCAATCAGTAAAATAAACAGTAAATTGCTTCACAGTCCGGACGCTGTAAGTCGTGTTAACGAACCGTAACAACACCTCCCGTACATTTACACTTTGATTGACACCACAATACAAAGGCGTGGATGACAAGTGAGCTGTTTTGTGATTGGTTAATGTACTTTGAATAATTTGGACATTCAAGGCATACTACAATAGATCGCTTGTTAGACATTACCTCACCTGTGCTGAGGAAGGACGTGATCAGACACGTCGGATCAACATGCAGATGTCACTCGGTAAAATTATTGATGTGATGAATTAAGCTTTACATTAAATGCTTATTTGTTTTATCCAGATTCGTGTCGTTTTTGTAATAGTTAGGGAAGCAACTTGGGTCTTGATTCAGTAGTCCGGACTATTCGCAATCCGGACGAATTTACTGAGAAACGCAACCGTCCGGATTAACGAGGCTTCACTGTATATATATTACAATATTAAATTAAACAGTTTGAATGAATTAATGAAATGTTGCATTAACGCTCTCTACCGGCTGAACATTATTTGAAGTGAACCCCATAGAGTTATGTCCCTTGGAGTGCTCTTTACGTATATCCTATGCACAACTTGTTATTGAAACCAGTTCGGCAAACACTGACAACACCGCATCCAACAGTTTTTAATGTAAGGAGCAATTGTTTACATTCCATATAAGGCAAGTGTTCTCTTTTGGAAGCTGTTCTCCTCAAAGTTTCAATTATCAATTTCAGGCAAGTTGTAAGGGATGATAAGTCTTTTACTGCATCAATAGGAAGCTAAAGTGTGTGTATATGCCCCAATATATGTAATATAGGCCAAAATATTGTCGAAAATGTGTGACATTGTGCCTTTAACTGAGACATGGCCTGCTTAACCAGAGCTTTATGTGCAGGAAAACCATGTTTTATAAAGACCAGAGGGAAAGTGTTTTATCTTTGACTGTAAAACAACATGTTTTCTTGAAAGATTTGGAATATGTCTCTTTCTGGCATTCATATATGCTTGTTTTAGGCATTTTCAGATGCTTAAGATACATTTGTTCTCTCGCTAATCACATGAACAACTCTAAACCGTTATGTTACTATACTACAGGCACTTTTATATACACCGTCCAGTTGATATTGTAATATCCCTGTATCTCAGATTTACTTCAACTGGAGAACAATTGGATGAGATCATTGGGGTTTATGAGGCAGGATAGTGGCAATTGCAAGACTGACGATTGCTCTATGCAGGTTTTGGGCCAGGTGACTTAGTTGTTTAATGCAGGGCAATTTTCAACATTCACATGCTTGTGGGTTTCGCCAAAGTGCTAACTGTCCAAGACCTACATCACTTTGGGCATATCCCACATGAAGCTGACACACTGTGATTTATAAAAGTACTGTTTAAAGTGGCATTAAACTCACTCACTCACTCACTCACTCACTCATTCTTCCAGGTAGGCAGTGTTAATGACTTTGATGTGGATGTCATGTTGAAAATTATTTTGTTTATTTCTAACGTTATCTTTGTTTGATTTCTGAGTGGAATCTCAGTTTGTGTTTCCTAGCAACAAGGACCATCCATTTACAAGATAGCCTTGTTGTGTCTTTGATTGGTTCTTTCCTTATTTTTGCATGATTTTAGATTATAATGTTTGTTTTGTTTCTTGTTATTTTATGAGTTTTTTTCACTTCATTGTCGTAAGGAAATCTTTGTTTGAAAAGTATAAATATGTTTTGTGAAATCATTCAATTATTGATATCCAAACAAAATATTATTTTCAAATTTCAGAATGTTGGTAAAACAAAAATATGAAAGTTTACATGTACACACATTCATTTCTTTTCACTTCGTAGACTCTTTTGAAGAAGGAAACATTCTCGCTCAGTCACAAATGTTCTCTAACCATGACAACAATGTATGATACAACGTCATGATTAAAATGTCATATTATTGGTTGCACCGGGAGGGGCACCTGCGTTGATATTGCATGGCTTATGTATATTTGTCTTGTGGTGGCTCCGTGGTACCTTGACATGCATGCTAGCTATAGATGTCCATATACTTACCCCCATATGTACTCTACATATTGTATGCACCTTTGTGGCAAGAAAATCCCCTGATCGTGTGCCGTGTAGTTACAAACCATATTTCCCAAAACATGTCAGAAACCTCATATTGCCATTGGAACAAGTTTCTCGATTTTTTTATCACGGCTTGGTATATCTGCAATATTGTAATCTTGGGAACCAATAAAAAAAAAAAAAGAAAAAAAAAAAGTTTCTCGATTTGATTGTCACTGGAAGGCAATACTTCAGTTCAGTTCATGATGCGCACAGATTTTTAAAAAGTCCACTCATATTGGTTAATCCTTGTCACAGAGTATCACATTAAAATTGTGTCCTTTTATCCTGTGGCATCTGCTTTATATATATTTTCAGGATTAAGGAACATTTTTTGAAAGTTTTTGGAAAGAATGTGTATTCAGACTTATATGCTGGACAGCAGTATTACCAAACATTAAACCTATTTCAGTCTGCTTTGTTGCTGTACATACAGCACACTATTCGAAATTGTCATTCTAGAAACTCTTCTGTGGCCATTCCTGAAGTTTGTTCCTTTATGCTTTTCTAATGGGAATAAAACAGTTTGATGAAATACTTTCTCCTCAATAACACGACTAATATTTCATGATCCTGCTTAAAGAGCAAACAGTGCTCTATAAGAAATATACTCGGCTGCAAAACTACACACCAAATTTGACCCATATTATATAATATGTAACATGATCACCATGATCACCGAGCCATCATGCTGCTCTTCCGTGTAGTGTGAGCCAACTTGTTGCCCTGTCTGTCGTAAGCTAGCTGAGTGTTTCTGTCTGTCCAGGACTGGGTTCAAATCCCAACACAGTGCTTCCGTCCCAGTCAGCGGGCATGTTGTCTCTGCCTTTTGGTCTAGCTGGGAATCTCACTCAGTTGGTGCCCGTTGGGGCAGGGAAGACTACATCGGCGGGCTCCGGGCTTCACGCCCAGCCTGCTGCTGCCAGTGCTACAACTGCTTCTTTACCTTTGCTGCAGGTGAGGGGAGGCTAGTATGTCATGTTGCTAGGGACTGTGCAGGTGAGGGGAGGCTAGTATATCATGTTGCTAGGGACTGTGCAGGTGAAGGAAGGCTAGTATATCATGCTGACAGGGACCTTGCAGGTGAGGGAAGGTTAGTATATCATGTTGTTAGGGACACTGCAGGTGAGGGTGGGTTAGTATATCATGTTACTGAAGACAATGCAGGTGAGGGGAGGCTAGTATATCATGTTACTAGGGAAATTGCAGGTTAGGGGAGGCTAGTATATCATGTTCCTAGTGACTTTGCAGGTGAGGGTAGGTTAGTATATCATGTTACTAGAGTCAGTGCAGGTAAGGGGAGGCTAGTATATCATGTTACTAGTGACTTTGCAGGTAAGGGTAGGTTAGTATATCATGTTACTAGAGTCAGTGCAGGTGAGGGTAGGTTAGTATATCATGTTACTGAAGACACTGCAGGTGAGGGGAGGCTAGTATATCATGTTACTGAAGACACTGCAGGTGAGGGGAGGCTAGTATATCATGTTACTAGTGACTTTGCAGGTGAGGGGAGGCTAGTGTATCATGTTACTAGAATCAGTGCAGGTAAGGGGGGGCTAGTATATCATGGTACTAGGGACACTGCAGGTGAGGGTAGGTTAGTATATCATGTTACTGAAGACACTGCAGGTGAGGGGAGACTAGTATATCATGTTACTGAAGACACTGCAGGTGAGGAGAGGCTAGTATAACATGATACTAGGGAAATTGCAGGTGAGGAGAGGCTCGTATATCATGTTACTAGTGACTTTGCAGGTGAGGGGAGGCTAGTATATCATGTTACTAGAGCCAGTGCAGGTGAATGGAGACTAGTATATCATGGTACTAGGAACACTGCAGGTGAGTGGAGACTAGTATATCATGGTACTAGGGACACTGCTGGTGAGGGTAGGCTAGTATATCATGTTACTGAAGACTCTTCAGGTGAGGGGAGGCTAGTATATCATGTTACTAGGGACACTGCAGGTGAGGGTAGGTTAGTATATCATGTTACTGAAGACATTGCAGGTGAGGAGAGGCTAGTATGTCATGTTATTAGGGAAATTGCAGGTGAGGGGAGGCTAGTGTATCATGTTACTAGAGTCAGTGCAGGTGAGGGGAGCCTCATATATCATGTTACTATGGACACTGCAGGTGAGGGAGGTTAGTATATCATATTACTGAAGACACTGCAGGTGAGGAGACTCTAGTATGTCATGTTACTAGGGAAATTGCAGGTGAGGGGAGGCTAGTATATCATGTTACTAGAGTCAGTGCAGGTGAGGGCAGGCTCGTATATCATGTTACTAGGGACACTGCAGGTGAGGGTAGTTTAGTATGTCATGTTACTAGTAACTTTGCAGGTGAGGGTAGGTTAGTATATCATGTTACTAGAGTCAGTGCAGGTGAGGGTAGGTTAGTATATCATGTTACTGAAGACACTGCAGGTGAGGGGAGACTAGTATATCATGCTACTAGGGAATTTGCAGGTGGGGGGGAGGCAAGTATGTCAAGTTACTAGGGAAATTGCAGGCAAGGGAAGGTTAGTATGACATGTTACTAGGGAAATTGCAGGTAAGGCTAGTGTATCATGTCGCCAGGGACAATGCAGTTAAGGTGAGGCAGGTATATCATGTTGCTAGTCAGGCTGCTGGTGAGTGTTGGTTAGTTGACTGTGCAGGTGAGGTTGTCTGGTATATATCATGGCGCCAGGTTAGTGTATCAGGTCTTTATTCCTCTGAGGACAAAAGGGATACAATTATAAAGTGGAATTAGAACTATAATAAGGAATGGTAAACATAAAAGTTGGAATAGCTATTATATGGAACAGTAAATATAAAAGTTGAAATAGCTATGATATGAAAATGGATTATACTAGGTAAGACTGTGTAAGTTGGCATCTAAATCTGTTAATAGGTACTCCTGTTGAGAGAAGGTTACAGAATATGATTCAGTATGATCTGTGAGAACTAATTAAAACATCAATGACTAAATCATGATTTGAAAATCATGAATAACAATTGGGGTGACCTCATTTTTAAAATAATATACATATAACAATAATAGCCAGATGTTATATGTTGAATTATATTTGTTAACATCAAAGAATCTGATTTCCCAATTTTGAAGTGTATTTACATAAGAATTATATGCTGATAGAGCTGGTAAATTGAGTTATCATTAATTGAGGTACATATTGCAGACCAGGGCGGTCACATCTTCAGGTAAATATTGTTTCCTGTGTAGTCCGATGGGCATGTCATTTTGCAGTCAGTCATCAAAAATTCTTGTGTTAAGATTGTGGGTTACTTTGTATTTTAATGTTTTTAAAAACATTAAAGTTGCAGTTCCTTTGCTGTCTACTAATATGTTTTCTATTTACAAAAGCTATGATAAAGCAAAAGAACACATCAATAATGAGACTGAGAGCATAATGTTGAAGAGAACTAGTTTTTCATTAAAACTTTATTGTAGAAAATATTTTCGAGTTTCGATTTCCATGGGTGATTGATCTTCTCTTCAATGTTTCAGAAACGATTTGCAAATATTTGACCTTACCGCTTTTAGCAATGTTACAGCAATATGGCAAGGGACACCAGACATGGGTTTCACATTGTAACCATGTGGGGAATCGAACCTGGGTTTTTGGCGTGACGAGCAAATGCTTTAACCATTAGGCTACCCACTGCCCCGGCCTTATAACTAGGCTTGATGAAATGTGGTATGTGCACTGCAGCTGATTGTTGTTCACCATGTGATCCAAGCAAATGTGGCTTATAGTATTGCTTAGTTACTGTGGGATATTGTTTACCAGTGCTTAGTGTAGAACACAGTTCTAGCAAGGTTAAATATATGGATATAAATGTGAAGGTTTGATTATCATGGAAACAATTATCAGTTGTATGGGAAATGTGATCATCTAAGGGAGATAACTCAGTTTACATGCATTACATGGAGGGTGCATGTTACAAGTCCGCTTTCAGTATTATTGGTTCGCATTCTACTTGGTTTGTTCTCATCCACTGGGTTATATTAATGTTTGTTGTCTTCAATTACATATTTCCTTTATTCTTGTCACGTGCAACTGAAATATTTCAAACTTCTTGATGCATTTGTTTTATCTTGATTATGATAAATTCATAATTCATTTTCATTCATAAATTGAATTGTCCAATTTTTAAATGTATGCTAATTTACATTTAAATTTCACTTTAGTCCAGGTCACTGTGAAATTAGACACAGAGGTTGAGAAGGTTGAGGTTGTGCTTTGACAGTTGTTAGGATTGAATGATCCAGAATGACTTATTGGTCTTTCTACTCGACACAGCTTCAGGGACAACAGGGAATACAGCTGCTAAACCTGCAACAGCAACATCGCGCGGGGCAGGTGAAACCCGGCCAGTCATCTGGTGGCCCTACTCAAACCAACGCTAGGGCTGTCACCACCACCGTGCCCATTTCCACAGGTATGTTGTTATCATACAAATGTCTTATCTCCATGAGCATGGGGGTAGCCTAATAGGTAATGCTCTTCCTTGTCATGCCATGTACCTGTGTTCAATTCCCCATGAGTATATTATGTGAAGCCCATTTCCTTTGTTCCGCTGAGAACATTATAAGTTGTATGTTTCTCGAGGGGTAATATGTTCTGATGTATGCATCTTTGTAGTAGTGTCACCTTAGCCGCCATGTTAAATGTACGAAACATCATTTTATTTTATTTTGAAGATCGCTACCGTCTATATGACATGTAAACAAAATGGTAACTGTCTTTTGACAGGATTTTTGAACTCAGTGAAACATATTCTGACAAGCTTAAAACTGCTATAAAAATGGTTAATTATGTTTAAATTGAGTGTGCAAACGATTCAATGTATAGAATAGTTTAAATAAAGCTGTGAAAGTCGGTACAATAAATGTGTTCATAGTGAACTCAAAAACAGCAAATCGAACGATTTTGAAACTCCGGGCACTGCATGTGTCATATTATGACGTCATACGATTGTTAGCAATACAGCTTCTCGGTTACCATGGCAGCAGGTAATATTTTTTTCCAGTTGTCACCCCCCTTGGAGGGGTGACACAGAAACTTGTTAAAGTGTCATTGACCAATGAAATGAAAGTATTTTACATGAAGGTAAGATAATGCTGCGTAGGACTACTCATGGATCCTCTGTGAGGAAATTCATTCATTCATTCATTCATTCATTCAGGGCCGTGGGGAAGCTCAGTGGTTAAAGCATTTGCTCATCACGCCATGTACATAGGTACAATGTGTGAAGCGCATTTCTGGTCGTGCACGCCATGATATTGCTTAAGTCACTCACTCACTCATTAGGGGCAAATGTGACAGTTCCTAGAGTTGCGTCCCTTATGTGTGTCAGGATCAGGTGTTCATGCAGCAAATCTCACTGCATGTAAGTCAAGGAGTTCTTGTCTTATAAGATTTGGAGTCTCTTGATTGAAATAACAACGGAAAGATGTCAAAGACTCCAGGACAGTTCTTATACTGGAGTACACTCTGAATGTGATTAATGGTTCTTTACGAAACCTTTTTGTTTGTTCCAGTGCTTACGCAAACCCTGACAGGCCAGCACATGGCAGCACTATCTACGCTGACAGTGGGTAAACCCGGTCAGACGACGACAACAAGTCTCACTCCGCAACAGTTGATGCAGTTGACGGGTCAGGCGCACTTGCAGCAGTCCCAGCTCCAGCCGCAGCTCGCCTTCCAGAAGACACAGTCCTCAGCTGCTCAGGGCCATCTGCAGTTCCACCAGCTGCAGCTGAAACAGCCCACGTCTTCTCCAGCTCCACCATCCGCCTCACACAGCAAGTCCAAGAGCAAGAAACGTACCACTCCGACGCCGCCCAAACTCTGAGAATATATACTTTATATGTTACCCATCTTCTTCATAGTCAATGGGGTTGGGGGTGGGGGTAGCCCAGTGGTTGAAGCATTTGCTCGTCACACTGAAGACCCAGGTTAAATTCCCCACATGGGTACAATGTGTGAGGCCCATTTCTTGTGTCCCCACCATCAACCGAATCCTTACCTGGTTCACTGTTCATTTCTACAAAATCAGACAGGAACACAAGTTATTTATGTATTCAAAGATGTTCATTCTTCATTATCTTGAGTACTCTGTAAAGATCCGGTTTGAATTGGTCTTCAGTAACCCAGGTTTGTTGACTTGGTTATTGCATGTCATCATGTCCCAAATGCACACATCGATGGTCATGATGTTAGTCACTGGAGAGACTGGACCAGTGCTTCAAAAATTTAATTCCAGTTGTGTAGATCGATGCTCATGCTGTTCAGGACTGTATTGTACAGTCCAGATTCAGTTATTTACAGACGGAAATCATATATGAACATAAAGAATTTTCTGGATGTACATTTAATGAATTTAATGGATGCACATTTTAAGAATTTATGTTCATCAAACAGCATGTTCTAAAATGCCAATCCAGCATCTGTCATCATCTAGCTGGAATATTGCTGATTGGGGTGTTCATCACCAAACAGACCTTGTTCCAGGATGTGACCTTTGCACTATGATCTACGAGCTTGTAGTGCTTATTGTGTCATAACTCCCTTACTCAAACCTAAACAAAGACAATCGTAGCCCAATGATCGTGTTGTGGAACAGGGTTGCAGCAGGTAGCAGGTGTTGACTGTACCACACGACCCAGGTAGCTGTTCAATCCCGGCATTGTGTAATCATACCTGTTGGGCCAGGTACCAGTTTGTACAACTAATTACTATGCAGTTATCAGTGCAGCTCAGGTGTACAGGTACGCCAGGTATATATGCATAATGGTGTTGGGACATCACAGGGTTCATCGCACCTGCCTGACAAGGTCTAGGCTAATGGGGATTGGTTCTCATCTTCTACATGCTGAAGTGTGATCATGGTGACTCATGTTGTGTCTCATCTCCTGTAACAACCTAGCACAGGATTCATTGTCAGTACTAGTGTTGGCAATTGGTTAAAATCTCATAATTGATGGTTGGTTCATTACAACCAATCAATCATCGCAAATAATTGGTTAGCTTCATTTATGAAATTTGTTAACGCACAAAACAAATAAGGAAAGAAAACATGTAGTTCTTTGGGGGGTTTTGGGCAAAATTTCACATCTTTAAAGGATGACTAGTATGTTAGGAACATACATTTCTTGGAGTCTTTAAGATAAATTCAATCATGACTTGGAACTAGCTTGTAGTGCTTATGAAATGTAACAGACAAAACCAACCTTGTGAAAATTATTGTCAATGAAAACAAGTGCTCCAGAATTGTTTGTGTTCGATTATGAGATTATGAGAAAACATTAATCGGACCACCACTAGTCAGTAAAATGGTCATCAACATGGGAATATGGAGTGTATTGCCCATCAAAGGTATATTAAGAATTTGGTTCAGTCTCCTGGCAGATTTAATGTAGTCCCAGCTTGTGATCTTGAGAATGCAGGGATTTACAGGACGCAAATTCCTGCGTATTATACGCATAAAAATTGACAATGGACGTAGCAAAATTTATCAGCTCTTCCACAGGGACGCAGACCAAATCCAAATACTTTTTGTAAATATTTCAATTAAGTAACAATAAGTTATTACTGAGTTTGTTACTAGCTGGGTTTTGGTATCATTTGCAATTTAATTACTGTAACAATGCGATGATCATGATACACAAGACAATAACAGATTAATAATAATATTAAAGTGTATTGACCCCTGAAAATTAAGAGTATGAGTCCCAGGGACCCTCAAATACAGGACTCCAGGTAAAATTCCTGAGAATGAATAAATGGACCCTACATTTAACTACAATCTTGGCTGAGATGGTGACTAGGAAAAATAAAAATTACGATTTGTCTCATGATGGTGCCCTTTCTGATTAATGGTGCAGTATGTTTTTCTTGGAGCTGATATTAAAATGGGTTTCTGATATGCTAAGGGGAATATGTGACTCAGTTGCAAATTACCGTGCAGAGTTGCCTCCCTTAGATTCACCACATGTCTGATCATGGGTTTTAATCCCACTATTTTCTTGGTTTGTCAGAGTGGCAAATCTCAAAGATCTGTGTCACTTGGTTTTTCTTCCAGTCGAGCTGACAGGTTATGACATAATTCAGAAAGTGTCAAAATCAGCAAAACATCTCTATGCTTTTTGATAATGTATCCTTACCATTCTATTGATGTACAAAATGCTGGAATTTCACTTTGTATTCAGTCTTTGCTGGATTGACTGAGAAAATATGGTCAAATCAAGATGTAAGTGTAAGTTTTAGATAAACGTCTGCTGGACACACTTTCCTGTTACAGAATTTTCAGGGTGTTTTTCAGACATGACAGTACGTGACTGACAGCTTTGAAAAGAAAGTAATTAAATTGCTTAGGCCTTGTCAAATAACCTCTGGCTGTTACTAAAGAAATTTGTCAAGGCAGTGCCTTCATCTTGCCTCCAATCATAGTAGAAGTAATGACTGATCATGTGCCCATTTTGAAACCCTTGATAATAATTTTCACAGAAATGTGTTCCATTTTAATAGGGGTCAAAATGTTTCTTTTACACAACACATGATTATGTTGTTTACACAAAAATGTCAAGTAAGTGATTATGTTGTATACATAAAAATATGCAGTAAGTTCATCTGAAGACTTAGGAGTTACTTCAAATTCTGTAATTAACCGATGGTGATTACAATTCAGGTTTTTCACGCTCAACAACACCAGTGAAGGTCCAGGTTAGAATATTGATTTTCAGTTACCCATGCTTGTCGTATGAGGCGACTAACGGGATCGGGTGGTCAGGCTCGCTGACCTGGTTGACACATGTCATCGGTTCCCAATTGTGCAGCTCATGCTGTTGATCACTGGATTTTCTGGACCAGTTTCGATTATTTACAGACTGCCATCATATAGCTGGAATATTGCTGAGTGCGGCATAAAACTCAACTCACTCACTCACTCAACAAAGGAATGTTGAAGACTGTACAGTGAGGTCTGTATGTAAAATAAGGGTAAACCTGCAACTTTTTACAGTGTTCTCTTAAGAAACACTTGTAAGTGACTGCAGATATTGATCTTCTTGTGGTACATCCTTTCAAACATTATGTCCACCGGAAAGTTGATTCATTATGTTGTCTTTCGTGTTTTGGTAACCATATATTTGTAGGAAGATAGTCTTGGTGTATATTTTGGAGCATGATTTGCGATGTACATAGTTTTAGCTGATCCCACTCTGATACATTCAAGAACACTGTCGTTGGTATTTTTACAATTTGCTGCATCATCATTTTATGCATTGTAAGTAGAAGTAATGTTTTAGATCACTGATGTTTTTATCTCATTGACACTTGCTCTTGTAAGTACCGGTAGAAGAGATAGTACGGCAGAAGGTCCATGGGGTTTATAACTCACTAAATATCATTTCTAAATAAAGACTTACCATCTATAACTTGTGTCCTGTTGCATGTTTAACACCTTGGTATATCACCATGTATGTATATGGTGTTTGATCATTACCAATATATATCACCATTCATGTACATGCAGTTTGATCAATATCAATATATATCACCATTCATGTACATGGTGTTTGATCATTGCCAATATATATCACCATGTATGTGGTGTTTGATCATTACCAATTTATATATCACCATTCATGTACATGGTGTTTGATCAGTACCAATATATGTCACCATGTATGTGGTGTTTGATCATTACCAATACATATATATCACCATTCATGTAAATGGTGTTTGATCAATACCACTATATATCACCATGCATGAACATGTTGTTTGATCAATACCAATATATATCACCATGCATGTACATGGTGTTTGATCAATAGCGGTATATATCACCATGCATGTACATGGTGTTTGATCAATACCAGTATATATCACCATGCGTGCACATGGTGTTTGATCAATACCAGTGTATACCACCATGCATGTACATAGTGTTTGATCAAGGCCAGTATAAATCACCGTGCATGTATATAGTGTTTGATAAATGTCAGTTTATATCACCATGCATGTGTACATGGTGTTTGATCAACACCAGTATATACCACCGTGCATGCACATGGTGTTTGATCAACACCAGTATATACCACCGTGCATGCACATGGTGTTTGATCAATACCAGTGTATACCACCATGCATGTACATGGTGTTTGATCAATACCAATATATATCACCATGCATGTACATGGTGTTTGATCAATACCGATATATATCACCATGCGTGTACATGGTGTTTGATCGCCATGTGAGTACTAAGTTGATGGATCTAGACCAATATCAATACATATAGCTACACATATACACTGCATAGGTTTGGACAAGTACCTTTGTAGATCACCATGCTAGTACATTGAACTCTTTAAGGCAGAATGTTGGCTCCACTTTTAAATCCTGGTTAACTTATCGAAAGCAGCTTACACAGATCAAACAAGCACATTCAGATGAGTTTTATTCCAACTTGATTGCCTAGAAGTGAGTAAATAGTTAACAAAAAATATAAGTATGAAATATAATGAAACAAACAATCAGTTGACCTAAGGCACAAAAGCCAATGATTACATTACAGGTACCTGTGAAGACCCATGTTTGTCATACATGGTGACTAATGGAGTGGGGTGTTCAGGCTTGCTGACTTGATTGACAGGGTGCCGTTTTGTTTGCCTTGAAGAGATTGCATCAGGTGCCACCTGATGGATAATTTTGGTTGTTCTTTCAAAATATTGGTTGCAAACCCCCCAAAATCTAAGAAAATAGATATCTTACCAAATCTAAAAGAGCTAAAGAGTTACTAATGCACTGTGCAACAGATTAATTCTAATTCTTATTTTCATATTGAAACTTTCAATGAGAGCAATTCCATAATTCAGCTTGAAAAATATTTAATCAAATACTTGCACTGGGTGCAACCTGATGGTAAATGTTACTTGCACCAGCTAAAATCAACTTGCAAAGGTGCAACCTGTTAATGGCTAAATCGCACCCTGATTGATATATTCCCACCGAGTAGATCAATGTCCATGATGTCAATCACTGGATTGTCTGGTACAGACTCCAAGTTTACAGACTGCCATCATATAACTGGCATACTGCCGAGTCCATTTAACAATAAACAAAACAGATACTCATTCATATTGCCCTATAAATTAATTCATACAAGCCAAGTTTACTCATATTTTTCCACTTTTATGACCTGTATATGAAATATTCCAGCAACATCACGGCAGGGGACACCAGAAATGGGCTTCACACATTGTACCCATGTGGGGATTCGAACCCGCTTTAACCACTAGGCTACCACACCGCCCCTGTAGAGAAAGAATCAAAATGAGGTAATATGATACACTTGGCCTTGTCACCCCCACTGCATACCTTGACCATGTTGAACACCAGTGCTTTGTCATCGTCCATTACACCATGCGGTTAATACGCAGTTGGTCTATAAACAATTGGACACTGTTTCAACAGTGGGGTAAACCTTGTTGCTTTTAGTAACTTGATATGTTCTATGGCTAGTTCCACATCAACAAGAATGTCTGTAGTGTAAGTGGTGTAAACTAATCACTAGATAACACTTATACTGCTGCTGAGAGATCTTAAACAATAGGGACTAGTCTAGCATTTGGCCTAGGTAAGTCTAAGTCAACTTAGGCTCAGTATTATTCGTTACACTGCTATACTGAGTCTAACAAACCCTACTAGAAGGTCATGTCAACTAACCTTTGAGCGACCTATGACCGTCCAATCAAACACGAGACAGTCGAACGAATTTAACCAATCTGACGACTACTTGTTGGGGTTTGTCGGGACTTGTAAACTGGTTTTGGACTTTCTCTTTCCTGGTCACTGACACTGATCTATCATCAAACGAAAATCCACATAAGACAGATATTTGACCCACAGTATATACCCTTATTGGTTTCTTATGACATGGTTACTATTTGCTTATATTTCCACAAGATGACATCCTTGAATATTGACAAAAACGCTATTTTCAGCGACTATTTACTCATTGCGTTCTCCATGTGTATCACTCGGAAGCGATCATGCGGAAATCAGCGTTTGGAATCATTTGAGTTTTTGAGGTAAAGGTTCAAATAAGTATGTGCGAATGTTAACTTTCGCGATTTGATAAGCTGTGTTCTGATTGGTCAATTGAAAAGGTTAGCTGACCGACCTTCTACTAGGGTTTGTCAGACTCAGTATAGCAGTGTAACGATTGCAGGGGTGACAGTGTGAGCCACACTTAGCACTATTCCAAACACGAGGTTGGGGAAGCCAACCTGACATTCAACACAGGATAAATATATTCAAACTCAACAACAGCACACACAATTTCAGCCTTGCTCCTTTTTATGATGCTAAATAAAAAATGTTTGGCATGAAACAGCAGTAAGTTGATAGAACAAGTTATATCAATCAGAAATCAAACACGCTGAAAATCAAACACATATTTTCAATTACAAGGTCAACAGAACCACAGATCATTATTCATATATCAATAATACAATGTCAAGGATAATCATAGATATAACTGTGATTCCACAGTATGAGTGCCCTGGAGAGGCGAGTTGAGAATTTGGTTAAAAAATAGAGTATTTTACATAATTATTTTCTTGAAATGTCTGTTAACATTGAAGTTTAACATTGCACTCAATGCAATAATGTTAAACTAAGCTCTAAAGCCTCAATCTCTATACAGGTATAAATGAAATGCAAGTTTCTCCACCATTGTGGCAGAAATGTTGCATTCCACAATCCAGTTTGTGAACTGTTAATAACATTGTACCCACAGAACACGAAGGTTGAACAGAAATGTTCCTTAATCTAAGTAATTACAAAAATATCCCTCAAAAGGTATTATGCCCAATAGATGATCAATATCATTGTGTAAATCCAATAAAGCAGAACAAAAATCATGAGTCATTGAGGCACATTGTTCAGTATCATTGCACATGGATAATATACCAACTTATTACCTACGAGGGCGAAAATATCAGGGTTCATAGTTTTCATACCATGCCCTAGGGCAAAATATCACTTTGTCATGGTGACATGACGTTATGAACAATGCTATGACGTCACGTTTCTTCTGTGACGTTGCGCTCTACATGCGGCGAAGGCGGGTAGCCAGCCTATGTTTGAAAGTAGATTTGGGTTTATTTTCCTCAATTTGACGACTTCGGTAATAAACAGAATATTATATTTGTGCCCATATCATACTATGTTTACGATACTCGTGCCTAAATAGCGGTATATCCCTCGCTCTAGCTCAGGAAATACCAACATTTAGACACTCAAATAATATCCTCTATTAATAGCATGATCAAATACAGACAGCAAAGCTCTGATACTTCAGTGGTCAGGACAGAAACAAACCGCAACAAGAACTCATCTTGTCAGGTGACCATGGACGTAGAAGACATTGTACTGACTGCAGCTACTATTGAATCATAGATGAGATTTTAATCATGAGTGAAATAAAGTGAGGCTTTACCAAATTATTAACTCATTTTACAGAAGCCATCAAACAAGTTTTTCAAAATGTATGAAAAAATACAATATATTATGATGTGTTTGTGACAGTGAAATACAGTGGTCCAAAAACATGGCATTGTCAACACGCATTTTGATAGTTCTATTTGCAAATATCTTTTGGCATTTTGTCAAGTTACATTAGTATAATAATTGTGGAAGGTACTTGTCAGGGGGTCTAGTTGTTATGACCATTGACAGTGGATGAGCTCTGGATAAAGTAATTACCGAGAATCCTTGGAAAGAAATTGTTCGAGTGTCTCAAGATGAACATGAACCATATTCCACAAAACTAACGAGAGAGACATCAATTACATGCTAAAGAGCATTTTTAAAGATTTTAGATTATTTCACAGTTGCACTGCAACAAATGCCTTTGTCACCATCCTGCATATAGACATTCTGTAAAACAATTACTATGAAACAGGTAAATAATTTGGTCGGACATTATTAATTAACAAGGCAATAATGGTGAGCTAGAATCAGCTGGACATTGCATAGGTCATACATCAGAATACAACCCGGACAGTGCCCCATATAGACTTGACCACCTCTGGTCTTGTTTAAAACATCAGTATACAACCCGGACAGTGCCCCATATAGACTTGACCACCCCTGGTCTTGTTTAAAACATCAGAATACAACCCAGAGAGGGCCCTATGTAGGCTTGACCACCTCTGTTTGGTCTTGCATAAAACATCAGAATACAACCCTAACTGGGCCTCATGTCCAAATGTTCTCTTTTACTGAGTTACGAATTTGCACACAGACTTGGTCAAGTTTTCAGTTATTACAACATAATTACATGTATACATATATATGACGAGAAAACACAAGTAAAGCAGGTACACATGAGGTAGTTAAAATATGTTCCTTATTTCTCATGTCCATCTTGACGCTACTGCCTGGTCAACATGGCCATCCCGTACTTCCAGTCGCCTGGGTGTCAAGGGGAGGTCAGACATCTTACATTAAAAGCAAGTCGTCTTTCATTGATTTTGGAAGAAAAGTCATGAGAAACAAGAATAATTTTTCAACTGGCCTGACCTGGACAATCACCTATAGTATGTATAATCATAATAACACATATCACATGATTAACAGAGATAAAATCAACAGTGACTTGAGCTTAGGGACCGGTTCAAAAGTTAAAATGTCGGAAAAAAATGAATCCCTAAATTATGACATATGGATCAGAAACTTAATTCTGAAAATGTTGAATTGTCTGTAATACTACAAAACACACTGTTATGAAGAATAGCAAATATATCTCTTGACAACCCACACATCACATATACAGCAAACAACAGGAAAATCCTACTGTCTTACTGATCAAAATACCAGTAGTGCTCAGAGCTTGCAGCTGATTTCACTGATTGTTCTCTGAACTCGCCCTCACAGTGATACCAGTCTCATGGTAAATTAAGATATGTGAATGATAGCAAGATATTATATAAAACATCAAGAAGTTCTTTGGGTTGAGTTCGTCAGAGAAATCTTACATTAACCCATATCTCCTAAACTTAAAGAATCAAAATTTGCATCCAACATTAGATTTTTAAACATGTCCATTATTGAATACCTGAATCAGACATACATACAAATAATGGCTTAAAGTCAGTGGAATATTTATAATTTATAACATATCACAGCATAACGTCGGAAGGTGATCTACAGCACAGACCACAACCTCGGATTACTCTTCAGCGTAATACTATGTTTCGACTCTTGTCAATGACAACACTGACCACAACTAAACACAACCCTGTTTCTATAATAACTTCAATAACATTTTACATGCTGTTATTATTTGTTATTACCTGGTAGCACTTTTATTATGTCAACAGACAAATAAGCAAATAAAACAGAGAAGACAGGTGAGTGAGAGTGAGTGAGTGAGTGTAGTTTTACACTGCTTTTGGCGATATTCCAGCAATATCACAGCAGGGGACACCAGAAATGGGCTTCACCCATTGTACCCATGTGGGAATCGAACCTGGGTATTCTGCGTGATAAGCAAACACTTTAACCACTTACCCCACCGCCTTAGACAGAAGAGAAGAGAACAAAGAGAAGAAAAGTATGTAAAGTCTATGTACAATTGACAAAAAATCTCTAAATGAGTCAACATTATGTGAACCCGATAGAGGACTCATTTCACAGTAGAGATCCGGAGCTAATAAAAATATTAACATAGACTGAACGTTTCATTTTACTAAACTCATTACTGGGCTTAATGGAGACAAAAAATGAAGATTATTCTCAACATGTATTTGCAGCAATAACCATAACCAATAACTTCTCCATAACATAAACATATTCTGCATCACAAGACACTTTGGCAAAACTAAAACTAAAATAATCCCATATATGAAACTATATATGACAAAATATATTGAGAAATACTGGCCACAGACCTAATCTATTGTTTAAAGTATAGAAAATGATTTAAAAGACACCATGTAATGAATCATCCTTTAATGTTTCATATTCTATATATACATGTATAACCATTATGTGTTGTAAAGAATCAACCATTTCATATGTGGATGGATGGCTGAGGATAGCACTGTACATATATATAAACAATGGTTAGATTATATTTATCATCCAAATCATTTTTCAACCTTTTCCAGTTTGAAAAAAATTAACCCAATTCTTGAGTTCAAATATGGCAGCCATAGATTTCTCCGCGGTTAAACTGAAACCGTGGTACAGCGGAGGTCGTTATTGCGAGGGATGGCTGCAGTCCTACTAAACAAAATCAGTAGGAAGGAGGCCAGTGATGTCATTTGTTTGTTTGACTGATGACTGACTGCTGACTGAGTTTAGTTTTATGCTGCTTTTTTAGCAATATTCCAGCAATATCACGGCGGGGGACACCAGCAATGTTGACTGATGACAACAACGTGGAATGAAAAATACTGTGATCTAGTTTCATTAAAACAAATTCTACAGATAGATTTCACCCAAGCAATATCTCCTATGAAAGCCAGTTTCAATTAAAAATGCTCATCTTAACATACAAAGTACTTTGAAATAACCTACTAAAATCACTGCAACAAAGAATACTGTTAGTCTGACAACACCTTCAAGCAATCGGTCACATGCAGTCTGTTCTTCGGCACGTTCTATACATCGTATAAAGAAGTAGCTTATCCTTTGATAGAAATAATACATACACTTCAATATACTTGCACAACTTCACAATAATAACACCAGTACAAACTGATATCTTTGTACCTGGTTGATATCATGTGATATCCATGCTTCTTCACTGGTAGGAAATTATACACATCCAAAAACAGAGAATATTTTTCAAAAGATATCCAGAACCATGCTTACAAAGTTACATGGGAAGTGACAATAAAACATTAACGCAAAGTATTCTTGCAGCCAATAAATACATTTTCTAAAACTCCTCTCCCAGCATGAGCCTTTTATGAGCATTCATTTAATGAAATTACCCACTAACATCCCAAAGTTTACATTATTTCTTATCAGGGTAGAATTATTAGTTACATCCAGCTTGATCGTTTTGTTGATTCAAATGGTCATAGCATTGTTGTATCCAGCTGGAGCTGTAATCTAAATTATATGTGTTCATTCCCGAATTCCATGCATTATTTTACATGAATGAAACCCTGGATATGCCATCTCATTTAATACACAGAGATTAAAATATTTAAAAATTTACAAAAAAACAGAAAAGAATAAACCAACATATATATAACATATTGTGATTACTGTAACTCCTAGTGTCTAAAGCAGCATATGGGTAATACAAGCTATGTTTTTGGATGTTGGGGATTTGTTCTCACTGACTGCAAGCTATCCCTAGTAAGGGGGAGGTTTTTGGTCAGTTGGGGGCTGATGATGTCCTTGATCATAAAGGAAACCTGCTGCCGGGGGTGGTGCTGGGCCCCCAGGGTTGGGATAGGAGGGACCAGGCATGGATTGGGGGGGTGCACCAACAGGGGGTAGGATTGGCCTCTGAAAAAACAATAAAACTTTCATTTCAGCTTTTCCAAAACCAGTCATCCTGCTTTCTGGCGTCTCCACAAAACAAGCAAGTTCCCATCCCTTCAGCCCCAGCTGTTGAATGATAGGCTCCCAGTTGGTAGTGGCATGCACCCCCCCCGAATCCCGATGACATTGAGACGTAATGTTCGACAACAGTTCCCTGGTAAACTGGCCTGTTGTTATTGACTTGTGATGCAGGTTTCTCGAAGAACCACACAGAGTTGAGAGACGCTGATGTCGAGAATGCACCATGACGTGCTTGGCCCATGTCGAAGAAAATCTCAACCAGCTTCCAGCCCTGAGCTAACTGTGATCCCAGCATCCCGTTCCAGTCACAGGTGACCCTGACCCCAGATGTTCCAAAGGAAAGATTAGCCTGTATGTGCACGGGGAGGGGAACGCACTGGTAGAGGTAACGCTCGGACATTGGGGAATTGGGGATCTCGAAGAACAAGTCCACTCCCATGACTGAAAACAAATACATATTAATAGTAAACACCATGATAAATCAATATTGCAATGTGAATTACACAGGATTAATCTGATATCTCCACTGGTTTACAAGCACAGGTTCCTGGGGATAGATATCGGGCTGGATATTGCCCTGATTTTCATATTGCGATATATTGCAATAATTCAAGAAATATACATATTGTGATATATTGACTGGAAGGTTTCTGTCCAATTGCATACATCATAAATTCAAAATAGCTCTCTGTTTGCGACATCATCTTCTTAGTTACTGTTACACCATACTTTCAGGCTCCCCGTCCCCATTGTGTAAGGGTGTATGCCAGTGGTGTACAGATAAATGATATAGAGCCTAAATGTGGAATATTTCATTGAAGTAACTGTATTGCGACAAAGTTTTGCGAACATATTGATAAAGGTAATAGTATGGTCAGTGTTGTTTGCTTCAACAGAATGCTCTTCAAATGTCTTCAATGCAGTATGTAATTATTGTTACTGTTTGTCAGTGATTCATTCAGATTCAACTCCAATATAAACATGTGTTAACATGAACTATTGTAAAATGAAACAAAAACATGATTTAGGTGAACTATTTGAGCTTAAAATCTCATGTGACCTCCAGTAACTAAGATCCTTGACTAGAATGTCATTATACAGTCCTACAAAATGGATACCGGTAAGACCTTGCCCTTTATCATAAATTGATAACATATGTCCCATTATGAAGCAAAACAAAATAACAAAATAATGTGCATTGCGAAATGGTCACTCAGAGCCAGCAGCTCTGCTTATAAGTCCGAATAAAGATTGGTCAAATCTTTGAAGGTCATTTAGAAGTGGAATGCATAAGAAAAGCAAGATTTATGGATGTCAACTTCTTTATTGTGAATATTCATGACCTGATGAAGGAGCAAGCATACACTCCGAAACGTTGTGTTATTCGCAAGAAGAAGTTGACATCCATAACTCTTGCTTTTCTTAAAAGATTGGTCCATTTGAGGCCACTTAATTCCTCCAAAATGTCACATATGAAATCATTCTAATCCCAAAACTTAAAAAAAATTGGCAGAATATTCGGCACTTTGGGAGCCACTTATAAAGACACTTCCACTTGTAAAATGTTACATGAAACAGAAAAGAAACAAAAGTATATTTGGCACCATTAGAGCAAAGTTTGTTGCTATGGAAATCAAGGGCAGATAATTGAAAGGGACCTAACTCTGGATGACCCAATATATTGCAGAATCTGAACCATATTGTGATAATCGTATCGTGAGATACTGTCCCGGTATATACCGGTAATATTGCACAGCCCTAATAGATATAACCTGATATCACCAAATGATTACAAGCACAGATTCCTTGGGACAGATATAACCTTAAATCTCAATGGGTGAGTGAGTGAGTTTAGTTTTACGCCGCACTCAGCAATATTTCAGCTATATGGTGGCGGTCTGTAATTGAGTCTGGACCAACAGCATGAGCATCGATCTCCGCAATTGGGATATGATGACATGTGTCAATCAAATAAGCAACCTGACCACCCGATCCCGTTAGTCTCCACTTACAACAAGCATGGGTTACTGAAGATCAATTCTAACCCGGATCTTCACTGGTTGGACACACACAAAAACTCACAATCTTAGATTAACATGATGTGCATTACACCTTATCTGTATTGCAAAAATAAAACAGCTATCAAACTAACATTACACTGACTGACTGACTGACTGACTGAGTTTGGTTTTACGCCTCTTTTAGCAATATTCCAGCAACATCACGGCTGGGGGACACCAGAAATGGGCTTCACTCATTGTACCCATGTGGGGATTCGAACCCAGGTCTTCGGCTTGACGAGCCAACGCTTAACCACTAGACTACCCCACCGCCCCTAACATTACATAAGATGTTTCATTTCCTCCCAGATTAAAACTACCTCAATGTTATGTGATTTTAAAAATAACCAAAAGTTAGATAATTGCTTCAAGATCAATTCTAACCCGGATCTTCACGGTTCAAAATCTGCATGGGATTACCACTGGTTTACAAGCACAGGTTCCTGGGGACTGAAATAACCTTAAATCTGCATGGGACTACCACTGGTTCCTGGGGACTGAAATAACCTTAAATCTGCATGGGACTACCACAGGTTCCTGGGGACTGAAATAACCTTAAATCTGCATGGGACTACCACTGGTTCCTGGGGACTGAAATAACCTTAAATCTGCATGGGACTACCACAGGTTCCTGGGGACTGAAATAACCTTAAATCTGCATGGGACTACCACTGGTTCCTGGGGACTGAAATAACCTTAAACCTGCATGGGACTACCACTGGTTTACAAGCGCAGGTTCCTGGGGACTGAAATAACCTTAAATCTGCATGGGACTACCACTGGTTCCTGGGGACTGAAATAACCTTAAATCTGCATGGGACTACCACAGGTTCCCATGGGACTACCACAGGTTCCTGGGGACTGAAATAACCTTAAATCTGCATGGGACTACCACAGGTTCCTGGGGACTGAAATAACCTTAAATCTGCATGGGACTACCACAGGTTCCTGGGGACTGAAATAACCTTAAATCTGCATGGGACTACCACTGGTTCCTGGGGACTGAAATAACCTTAAATCTGCATGGGACTACCACAGGTTCCGGGGACTGAAATAACCTTAAATCTGCATGGGACTACCACAGGTTCCTGGGGACTGAAATAACCTTAAATCTGCATGGGACTACCACAGGTTCCTGGGGACTGAAATAACCTTAAATCTGCATGGGACTACCACAGGTTCCTGGGGACTGAAATAACCTTAAATCTGCATGGGACTACCACAGGTTCCTGGGGACTGAAATAACCTTAAATCTGCATGGGACTACCACAGGTTCCTGGGGACTGAAATAACCTTAAATCTGCATGGGACTACCACTGGTTCCTGGGGACTGAAATAACCTTAAATCTGCATGGGACTACCACTGGTTCCTGGGGATTGAAATAACCTTAAATCTGCATGGGACTACCACTGGTTCCTGGGGACTGAAATAACCTTAAATCTGCATGGGACTACCACTGGTTCCTGGGGACTGAAATAACCTTAAATCTGCATGGGACTACCACAGGTTCCTGGGGACTGAAATAACCTTAAATCTGCATGGGACTACCACAGGTTCCTGGGGACTGAAATAACCTTAAATCTGCATGGGACTACCACCGGTTTCACAGTTTCAACTACTTACTTGGGCTGATTCCTTGCATGGCGGCACTGAAGCCCTGGCCTTGTTGCTGACCTGTCATCTCAATACAGATGAGACGTCCGCCTGTGTTGGTGTTGTCCACGATGGCCTGATAGATCTGGGACGTGTCTCCCACAACCTGTTGGTTGAGCTGAATCAAGCCATGTCCCATCCTCTGGGCTACCATGACAGACTTGACCACACGTAGCTGCCAGCCCTGCTGACTCGGCATTTGTGGGTAGCGACAGAACACACCCTGGGAAGAGCATGATACCAAGAGTGAGTGAGTGAACAAGTGAGGTTATACAATGGTCTGTGTGAAGGAGTGAATGAGTGAGGTTATACAATGGTCTGTCTGAAGGAGTGAATATGTGAGTGAGTGAGGTTATACAATGATCTATGTGAGTGAGTGAGTGAGTGAGGTAGGTTATACAATGATCTGAACAGAATATCACGTCATGGTGCTCATAAAAAAATTATCCTTATCATTTACTTGACATGATACTTGACACAAATATTTATACCTCATAAACGAGGCTGCAACGATTTGGTCCTATTCATCGAAAATTGAATCTGACACCTTAGTTTCGAGTTTTGATAATCATTATGACTATTTTGATTCGATGTTTGAGTGTTGTTCTGTATTTAAACATCATATTGTATTTGTTTGAAAATGGTTATATCATTTACATTCCTGATTTCCTAGTCAAATCTTGGAAATATTTTCAGAGTGATATGTTTTGTTTCATAAATTTTTCGATCGAAAATGATCGAATTGAGGGTCCAATATTAAAAACTGAATCGAATCAAGGTCTGAGTGAATCGTTGCAGCCCTGCTCATAAAGCTGTGTCGAGGTCACTAGCATTAAATTCGTGTTCACAGCTGATTGCCATTTCCGGCTGTGTATATGAGACACAGTAATCTTCATCCCTGCATATTAGACAATGCCTAGCAAAAACAAATTAGAACTGAATAGGTAAATAATCTTGTCTAGTGATGTTTAATTGCAAATTTGACGTCTTTACTGACAATGTCATCTTCTCTTATTTGTTCATGCAAAGTGATATGATGTCGTTTTCTTACCCGCTGAAAAATAGTTTCACGAAAGTGTAACCCATAGAAAAGCCAACCTCTTCTACAGACTGCTTTTTGGGGTCCTCATAATTCAGCTTATCTACTACGGTAATCTGCGATACTTTGGTTTTAAAATTCAGGAAGAACTGTTTTATTAGTCACCTGGAAAGGTATGGCCACGGACATGCTGAAGAGACCTCCCTGTCGCTGTGCTCCCCCAGGTATGCGGTAGAAAGTGAGGAGGCGGAACCCTGCTGCATATTTCTGTCCCAGTATAGGATAATAAGAATCGATGTTGGTCGTCACCATGTTGCTTGTTGAAGAAAAACTGATGTTGTTGGTCATCGACACCTGAAACAAAGGCAAGACTTCATTAAGTTTTACACTTGTGTAGAGTAGAATTTGATGTACCCAGGAGTCAACGAAGCAGAATTGTTACATACCTGTATGTTGAGGCAGCCGTTTTCCACATCTCCAGTCGTTGTGACTTATCTGTGCAATGAAACTGTCTGTTTGTAGATGACTTACTAGTACCTGTGTATTATACAGCTGAATTCTACAGCTGACTAACCTGAGTGTTAATGAAGTTTTATTCTGCAGCTGTACTCAGGTGTATGTGACTTACCTGTGTAATGAAGCTTATATTTGTAGACAATACACCTGTGTGTTAATGAAACTGTATTATGCAGCTGTACTCAGGTGTATGTGGCTTACCTGTGTAATGAAGCTTATATTTGTAGACAATACACCTGTGTGTTAATGAAACTGTATTATGCAGCTGTACTCAGGTGTATGTGGCTTACCTGTGTAATGAAGCTTATATTTGTAGACAATACACCTGTGTGTTAATGAAACTGTATTATGCAGCTGTACTCAGGTGTATGTGGCTTACCTGTGTAATGAAGCTGATATTTGTAGATGATACACCTGTGTGTTAATGAAACTGTATTATGCAGCTGTACTCAGGTGTATGTGGCTTACCTGTGCAATGAAGCTGTATATTTGTAGATGATACACCTGTGTGTTAGTGAAGTTGTATTCTGCAGCTGTACACAGGTGTATGTGGCTTACCTGTGCAATGAAGCTGTATAATTGTTGATGACCTACCTCCGTGTTAATGAAGTTGTATTCTGCAGCTGGTCCAGGATAGGGGGGCTCAGGGGGGGCAGGTGGTCCAGCAGGTGCTAACACTTGACCCCTTGACGATGATGTGCCTCCCATGTTTTCTGTCTTTATTCTGTAAAAGTGAAACCCAACAGAAAATATATTAATATACTCAGCAACAAAAGTTCTTGTGACACGGATATTTTTTAATGAATACTAACTTTTGTATACAAATCATAAAAAAACGGGTTCACGGCACTATGACAGAGTATCCAAACGCATCTGTCATGGTAATGTTTGCAAATAATGAAAAAATGACTTTTTTTAAAAAAAATGGGAAGAATGTGTTAGACTGTGGATCTTTAAACCTGGGTAGTGGAGAGAATGTTTCATTCCTGATAAAGACACGTTGAAGGAGTGCAACCTGAAAAAACATCAAATTTCTCAACAGAATTAAACAATTGTTATGCCAAGGCTAACAGAAAATGAATGTTGGCGAGTTATTGGAATGCTCCAATCCGGTACTCCACAACGAGAAGGTGCTCGCAGATTCAATGTCCATCGAAACACAGTATGGAACTTGTGGCAGCGACACCAACAGACAAATCACGTCAGAGACCGTCCTCATAATGGTCCATCCCCGGTAACAACCCGACGTCAAGACGACTGGATTCGACAGACACACCTCCGGAACCGCTTCCAGCAAACAACAGTCACGGCAGCAACCATCCTTGGACTGAGGCCGATATCACCACAAACCGTTCGTCGACGTTTACGGCGTTTTGGGATCATCGCACGACGCCCATCAAGACGACCAATTTTGACGTTACAACATCGCCAACGGCGTCTGCAGTGGGCAAGACAGCATGTGAGATGGACTCTAGGTCAGTGGAATCATGTCCTGTTCATGGATGAGTCCAGATTTTCTCTTCACAGAGCTGATGGCCCGTGTGCAAGTTTACCATCGATGTGGCGAACGTTATGCTGACAACTGTCTAATGGAAATTGATCGGTTTGGAGGCGGTAGCGTGATGATCTGCGGTTGAATTACAGCTACAAACAAGACAGACCTTTTCATCATCGCTCCTAATCTGACAGGGCAGCGATATCGGGATGAGGTTCTCCAGCCAGCCGTTTTACCGTTCATACGGCAACATGGACCAGGGATGACGTTACAGCAGGACAACGCCAGACTGCACAATGCCCGTATTGTTCAACGTTTTCTGGCTCAGAACAATGTTGATGTGCTTCCCTGGCCAGCTAAGTCACCGGACATGTCGCCTATTGAGCATGTGTGGGATGAAATGGAAAGATGCTTGCGACGCTCACCAAACCCGCCTGTAACGCTGCAGCAACTGCAACAACATCTTCGTGAGATCTCGGGACAACATCCCACAACGATGTCATACACGACTGATTAATTCCATGCGACGGAGGTGTGTTGCATGTTTCAACTCTGCTGGTGGTCATAGACTCATACCCGGTATTAGAGTGGGACTTTTCATTTTACCCCCTAAGCATTCAGATTGGTGTTTTGCCTTTTGAAATTGTCACTAATCCGAAATTAAGGTTGTCCTTAGCAGGTCAAATGTCTGTTCTATGAAATGAAAGTGTTTGTATTAACTTCGTTTTCTTATGTGTTTTTCTACACCATTTTTAATAGCATCACAAGAACTTTTGTTGCGGAGGAAACTACCAAAATAAACAGAAATTGGTGAAGCCCATTTCTGGTGTCCCCCACAGTAATATTGCTAGAATATAGCTGCTAAATGTGGCGTAAACCCATTCTCACTCATATGTTGATCACAGTTGAAATTGTTGAGGCATTCGTAGGGTAATGAGATATCGTAACTATCATAGGTTTACGACTGTGGAAATGATACGAACGCGTTCTTGAACAGGCCCCGTGGTCTGTTTATGTTCAATGACATAAATCCGCTTACTGCTTACCTGAGAGTGGGAAGTCTTATTGCTTCAGTAAATCGGACGAATAAGTAATATCAACGTTTCCAAACCAACGAATGTTGCAACACCTCACATCAAACTTGCATACTCCCAGTTAGAGTCATTTATTGTTGACATTTCCGGATTGCGAAATCGAGGCAACTTGTTGACGGTGTACATGCAATTTGTTACCTGTGAAAATAGGTTGAAGCAGAGACCATATATGGTCTCTGGTTGAAGCGTCTATAAGATGATTTTAGCGCTTTTTGTTTCGACGAAGCTAAAACTCAACGCTTTCGCACTTTGCACACATTTGAACGGAAACACGATGAAAGATTTATTAACGATATCATTTTACGTACACGTGGGTGGAGGTTTCTTTGACTTCGTGTTCAAGGTTCCTTATTTTACGCCGAGCTGGATTGAGCTGCAGTACACTTTTGAATACTTATATGCAAAAGTAGGATTTATACTGAATTCATGGTGTGTGAGTACTCTTCAAAAAAAGAAACTTGACATAGGACAAATTTGAATTTTAGGAAAATATTTGACACAAACCAATCCATGCTGAATCCCAGCATGTGGGGGAATGGTTGCCGACGACAAAACGTTTGGAAAAAAGAAACGTTTAACAAACACGTAACGTTACACTCACGTCTGTAGTGAATCGCTAAAACGCACCCTACATGAACTGCACGAGCATCATGAAATTGAGTATCACCCTGAGTTGAAGCCTAGATGACTGTAGGCTTTAAAACGCCATATCAGTGGTACTCCACATGCATTGCTTTAAGCCACTATAGACAACAAGAGAATGAAAAGACTGACAGACGCTCAACGACACAACGCCATCGGCCGTTTACAAGGACGGACATCGCAGCATGATGTGGCAAGGCACTTCAGCGTGTCCAGACAGACCATCTCAAAGCTATGGACTCGATACAAAAATACTGGGAGTGTTAATGACAGACCCAGGTCAGGTCGACCTGGAGTTACCACCGCCGCCCAGGATCGCTACATCCGGCTGAGACATTTTCGTTCAAACACCACACCCGCATCATCCACAACAATCCAAATCTCTGGACTGCTCCGAATCTCCGACCAAACAGTGCGCAGTTGGCTATGCAAAGCCAGACTTTTCCAGAAGACCAGTTCAACGTCACGTCGTTCCCTACACCAACGTGATCTTTGGAGCATGACAATGCTCGATCTCACGTTGCACGTGTTTGACAGGTCTTCCTCCAGCAAAACAATGTTCAGTTGTTACCTTGGCCTTCTCGATCACCGGATTTGTCCCCCATTGAACATCTATGGGATACTCTTGATCGACGCTTGCGCTAGCGTAGTCAGACACTAGAAGAACTGCACACAGCACTTCAGCAAGTGTATCAAAACATTCCTCAAGACAGCATTCGGCATCTCCTTTCTTCTCTCGGTCACCGCTGCCAAGCTGTTATCGATGCTCATAATGGTCACACCAAATACTGACATTTTTACTCTGACCAATTGGCTTTAATAGCCCTCTGTGGTTTTACCAAACAATTTCTGGATAAACATGTTTTGGAAATTTGTAAAGTTATGATTTTACTGTAACTGAGCAATGATGTCATGTTTGAATCAGTTATATGCACTCAGTAAGTAAACTCCAAAACAGCATGTCAAGTTCAATTTTTTATAGTATATATGAGAACTACGAACGTTAAGATTAGCATCTGGGTCTGTTGTAGGCAAATGACTAATTGAAAATCCACGTGGGTTTACACTGTGTGCACACCGGTTTTGAAATGTATTCAGGTCAATACTTACCGATAACTTCAACACCAATGATTTCAATCATAGACGGATCCAGAAATTTTCAAGAGGGGGTGAGGAGTGGGTTCAGGGGGTTGGAACCCCCTGAACCCCACCTTGGCCCCGCCGTTGCAAAACATTAACTTCAATGTGGTCTTTAGTCATTTAGGGGTGGGGGTGGTTTCGAACCCCATTAACCCCACCTCTGGATCCGCCACTGTCAGTCACTACCAGCCCTGATCCCCCTTGAAAAACTGATAAAAGTGTGTATTGTTTATACTTATAATTATCAAAAACTGATAAAGCGACCATAGTATGGATGTGTGGGTTGGATTGCCGACTTTGCGATTATAGATGCCTCACTGTGAGAATCTGGGTTCGAATACCGGTTGGGACTCAACCCAAATCGTATTAGACTGAACTTTAACACTTTCTAAAGGGCGTTGTGTATTCATTGTAACTGATACCAAGTGAGAAACTTGGAGACATTGAGGATGACCATGTATTGCTTCATTTGAACTTGGAAACACATTAGTTTACATAAGTTTACAGCTAGTTTGGAAAGGACCTCATCAAACTTTCAGTACAAAAGGTAATGACATGGGTTTTTGTCTCTGTGTGTTGTTGATTTGTTATGCCTTTGTATCGTCAGGCGGTACTGGGCTTTATGTGTTACAACAGCAAATTGGCGAATAATGTATAGGGTGTCAATATTTTACCCATCATTATATTGTTCTCCAAAATGTTTTCGGGACCATTGTGCAATGAGCGGTAGAATTTTCTGAAAAACATCTCTTCATCGATATCGTTCAAATTTGGAATATATGTTATGAATAACATAAAAAAAAAATATACGATTGCAAAAGTGTAGATTTTTATTTTTTTAAAATATTGTCCAAACAGTGATTCGAACCCCTGTGGCTTGGAGTCTTGAAATGACTGCTCCCTAGTTAAGTTGTATTTTACCATTCACACTCCGACGCAGTGATGACTTGGAATAACGCTATGCACTGCCTTCAAGATATGTCTGTCAAAATCTTGTACAGATCTATATATAGCACATTTTATTGAATCTACAGGTACAATAATTATAACGGTTGAAACATTGTTGCACAACGTATAACATGGTCTCATAACATGTACGTCAATGCACGTCTTTTATCAATCTGGCCAATTCGTCACCACTCGCCTCTTTCCGTAACCTCCAAGAAGACGGCTTGTTCCGGACTAACACGAGTTGGTCACGAATGAATCTGACCGTATCGCTAGCATTCGTGACGAACTCGTGTTATACCGGGACAAGCCGAATGGAGGTTACGGAAAGGGGCGATTGGTGCCGAATGTATCGCTAGCTCACCGTTGGGCGATTAGGTGGGGTAGCCCAGTGGCTATATTAAAGGGTTAGCCCGTCAGGCCGAGGATCCGGGTTCGAATCCCCGCTTGGATGCAATGTGTGAAGCCCATTCTGGTGTCCCCCTCCGTGATATTGCTGAACTATTGCTAAAATCAGCGTAAAACTAGACTCAATCACTAACTATCCATTGATAGACGACAGCACACGAAGCCGTACAAAAGGAAATGTTTTTTCATGCGTTATGACATTTTTTTATGCATTTTAGGATATTGTCCTGGAAGCTAACCATTTAGTGAAATGTTTATGAATAATGAGAAAAATTGTACAAATGACACAAGATATGTAATTTCTTGAATGGACTATCCAAGGTGTGAGAAATCATCACGTGGCGCTAGCCTGGGGGTACTGTGCTGGCCACGTGGAACTCAAGATAGGCTAGCGCTATATCTCATTGTCACGTCATAGTTAAATGACGTCACACATCCCTGCTAATGAATGTCGTCATGCATCAGTACGTTTCACATCCAAGGAGTGTTCCTGTCAACAGACCGAAAAATGTGGGAACATGGTTTGGGGTGATAAACAGAATATCTCCTCCGTGTCCTTTGATGTTAATGCGCCAATATGAGTATATAAACGTTTAAAACTACGAAACTTTTGAAAGGCAGGGAGGTGAGATTTACACTAATTATTAGTTTTTCATGTCAGGATGCATTCTGAGCCAGCATAATGATTATTTGAAGGTTCCGGGGAGCTTATAACAGCATCAAAAGAATTTGGTGCTTCCTCGTAATGTGAACAAATGGTACAATTTTAATGTAAATGTTTGTAAGAGGTTTTGGTTTTTGTTTTTTGTTGTTTTAAATCTTTTTATTCATTTCAGATAGGTATACAAATTAAGGGAGTGCACGACTCCATGTTGGAGCAGGTAACACACTAGCAATAAAAAGTTACAAATTCTCAAAGTGTGAAAACATGGGTATACAAATTTAGGGAGTGCACGACATGTTTGTAAGAGGCCATTGATAATTGTTCCTTTATAAAAGTCTATTTCACAGGAAGCGATTTGCATGAACACCGGTAAATCGTATCCCTCCAGACTTGTAATCGGACCAGCCGCACAGACTATATATTGGGAGCTGTATATAGCATTCAAATGCAAAAACAAAGCTAGTTTGGAAAGGACCTCATCTAACTTTCAGAACAAAAGGTAATGACATGTTTTTCTTCTGTGTGTGTTGTTGATTTGTTATGCGTTTGTATCGTCAGAAGGTACGACGGCTTTACGAACTACACAGCTAACTGGCGAATAATGTATAAGGTGTCAACATTTTACCCATCATATATATTATTCTCCAAAATGTTTTCGGGACCATTTACTATGTCAACGTTAAGAAAGTGATCTATGCACAGATATATATGCCTGTCGCTTCAGACAGTCTTGCAGTTGCACGTCCGTCCGTCGTTTAACAGGTTGGGGAAACCTACCGATCGGCCTATAATATGCCGAACAGGATATTATAGGCCGTTCTGCCTATTTTGCTATAGGCCGACATATTTGAACATTTTTCTAATTATTTCACAAACTATCAATTTCCTCACGGAATGGTTTCATATGATCATAGAGATGAATAGTTAATGAACCTCTTCAGCTTGAAAAAAATAAGTTTTTGGACAAAATGGAAATTTATATCATGTTCAGGAAAAGATGTTTCATAAAGAACACTATTTTGCATAGATTTTCCTTTTGAAAACTAACACTGAATATCTATGTCATTAATTTGCACTGAAAATTGTCAAAAAATATTATAGACTTATATTTAATTAGCAATTTCCAAACTCCTTTATTATGTGATGAAAATTCTCAAAAAGGGTTTGAATGAAAACCTTAGGACATCAAAACTTGAATGATGTTAATATCCTCATGCGGAAATGCACCGCTTCAAATTTATTTGATAAATATCATAATCATAGGCCGATCGGCCTATAGCAAAATAGGCAGAAGGGCCTATAATATCCCGTTTGGCCTATTATAGGCCAATTGGTAGGTTTCCCCAACCTGTTTATTAAACTGTTTAAAGTACCTCAGGCTCAGCTCCGCACATCGATCTAGATCTGTATTTATATCTGGATATCAGTCTTTTATATATGAAAACCCCCAAACAGGGCAAGTGTCAGTGGCAAGAATGTTTACTACAGTTGTCAGCAAGGTATGCCGGAACATAGATAGCGCATGATGACGCGCTAGGGAGCTACAGGTTGCAGCGCCTGGACAGAAATGACACTGACAGCTTTGCTCAGCAGAACGTCAACACACTGCTAGTGTTCTAAACCATATATCTAAGTAGGTCTATTATTCTGAGCTTTTTTAAAGAATGTCCCCTGGGAGATAAACGCGTAATGCACTTTAGGCGTGGCGGGGAATGGACTGACAACTTTGTTATTTGAGAGCTTTGTTCTAGTGGAAACACTCAATTTTAGTCTACGCATGCGCCACTTTGTTGTATGTATAAATACCATGTCTTGTACAGGTTGGGGAAACCTACCAATTGGCCTATAATAGGCCAAACGGGATATTATAGGCCCTTCTGCCTATTTTGCTATAGGCCGATCGGCCTATGATTATGATATTTATCAAATAAATTTGAAGCGGTGCATTTCCGCATGAGGATATTAACATCATTCAAGTTTTGATGTCCTAAGGTTTTCATTCAAACCCTTTTTGAGAATTTTCATCACATAATAAAGGAGTTTGGAAATTGCTAATTAAATATAAGTCTCTAATATTTTTTGACAATTTTCAGTGCATAGACAGAGCTCCAGATAAGATTTAGCTCATGTGGGTACTGTACCCACTGTATTTTTTTTGATTGGGTATTATGAATGTTGAGTGGGTATTTCATTTTCCGTTACCCACGACTTTCAAATATGTGCGTATTTCAGTCATTTTAGTCACCTAAGGTATGTTCTGCCTTATGTCATACCTAATCAAAACCAAAACTTAAATATAATGGAAATGATTTCATAAAAAATCACTCATCCTATACTGACAGTACAACACTTGTCCAATACTAACAGTACAACTTGATAGCAAATCGATGTCTTTTTTATTACGCTAGTGATTTTTATAAATATATTTCGTACGCATTTGTTTTAAACTTTTTGTGTATCTAACATTTTTTATGCGTAATTGGTACGCAACAATTATTTTTCAATGCGTAATTGGAAATCTTCTATGCGTATTTTACCCGGATACGCAACTTATCTGGGCCTCTGCATAGATATTCAGTGTTAGTTTTCAAAAGGAAAATCTATGCAAAATAGTGTTCTTTATGAAACATCTTTTCCTGAACATGATATAAATTTCCATTTTGTCCAACAACTTATTTTTTTTTCAAGCTGAAGAGGTTCATTAACTATTCATCTCTATGATCATATGAAACCATTCCGTGAGGAAATTGATAGTTTGTGAAATAATTAGAAAAATGTTCAAATATGGCCCGATCGGCCTATAGCAAAATAGGCAGAACGGCCTATAATATCCTGTTCGGCATATTATAGGCCGATCAGTAGGTTTCCCCAACCTGTTGTAAACAATGTCATTGACAAATACGCATCATGTCGGAAAGGGCATGTAAAATCTGCAAATCATCACCATCGTCACAATGGCTGTATTACATGTTAGTAGCAGTTTGTTGTATCCGTATTGCACAACATGTCTCTTCTACAGTGTTTTTTGTTTGTCAGTTGAAAAAAATGTACTTGGGTCTTTGGTCAACCCTTTTGCTTTATAACACAAATTTCAGGAAAAATTACATTATTCCAGAAAGGAAATTCACGTAAACAAACTTAAGATAATAACATACTTGATCAATAAAATGTGAAACTTTGGATAGATATATTATCACTACAGTCTGTTTGTGGTGAAAACGTACCGATGAATTTCAATTTAAACACAAAAGTAAATCAAATAAAGTGAAATTATGATTGCGAATCCTCATTATTTTACCATGCCAACTGAACATTAAATCTTAAATTTCGGATAAAAGTTGTTAAACAAACGATCATAAATTCAAATCGCTGTTATTCCCCGGGTTTGTATTACAAGAGGGTAAGCGCAGTAGTTGAAACAGTGCAACAAATGCACGTGCGGTACGTGATGAGCGTTAACTTAGACCAACCCTACTTGTTCTGGGTGTTTCATTTAATATATTCAAAGGCCTGCCACATTTTTGCTACAGCAAATGAATGAAAACAAATGGGTCAGTCTGATTGGTCAGCTAGGACAACTTTGTTTACAGTGTACATGGTTTATTTTGACTTCGTGCCCATATATGGGTGTATTCAGTCTGCTTTGCTAAACTTACATATTTAAACACTTTTAACCAATTTATTGTACAAGGTAGCAAAATGTTTACATGTTTATCGTAAGTTATATTTGGGAATACACTGGCTCATTAAGGAGCCATATGGCTGGAATATTGCTCCGTGCGACGGTAACCATCAAACAAATGAAACTTTCTCAGTAAAGTACAGATTCTAGTACTTTCATTCGGTTGAGTCACATTCGGGATTCGAACCCACACTGTTTGAGTCAGGCACATAATTGCCACCACACAAGTCAGCAATCTTACCCACTCACCCAACACATGGAGCCTATTTGGCTGTTCAAATAATAAAACGTGAAATGTAAATAAAATAAAATAATATCATCATGCTTAGTCACATGCATTTACCCAATTGTATATTTAATATGTTTATCCAATGCAATGAATCTAACAAATTATGCCCATGAAATTTCATCCGGGATTTGAACCCAAACTGTCAGCCAAGTACTTAATCACCAGCACACAAAGTCAGCCATCTAACCTACTCAGCCACCTGACTCTGAGAGCGAGGATTCAAACTCTTGTCTTCAATGTTTGTGAAGCCACAGTAGCTGAGTCACACGAGTCACTGAGTGATTAAATTCATGACTCTGAGAGTGAGGGTCAGAGTCCCTGATGGAACCCCAAAGTACTTGAATCTGGACTTTCCTAAAAAGTGTAATCCATAATAAAACATTTGTTATATTTCATCACTTGACATTGCATATTCAGAGCGTGGTTGTTGACAAAGAGTGCAACACAAATCTCCGTCTGATTGTGAGAGCACACACACACACACACACCACAGAGAGAGAGAGAGAGACCACACCATTCACACACACCACACCACACATACACACAGAGACCACATCACACACAGAGACCATACACACATATCACACCACACACAGACCACACACACAGAGACCACACCATTCACACTGCACCATATAGAGACCACACAATCCACACAGAGAGGGACTGCACCAGAGAGAGAGACCACAGACCACACACACACACACACACACACACACACACACACACACACACACACACACACCATACTGAGAAAGAGACAGCACACACTGTGCACACAGACACTGCACACACACCACACAGAGACCTCACCATTCACACACACCACACACACAGAGACCACACCACACAGAGACAACAAACACCACACCATATAGAGACACACACACACACAGAGGGACTGCACCAGAGACAGAGAGACCACACACACACACACACCACACATACAGAGAGCTATGAGATACACACACTGTGTGCACAGACTACACACATGCATCATATCACACAGGGAAACCACCACACACACACACACACACACACACAGCATGACCCTACACACACACACACAGACAGAGAGAGAGAGAGAGGGTAATACATTACTACAAACCTAAAAGTGTTCTATGTTGCAGGACCAGGTAAACTACAGACAGCATGGGAGCCAGTCAAAGTCGTGAGATATTGCCCCCTGGGCCACCATACCCGGGGCCAGCTGCAGAATACAGCTTCATTGAGACACAGGTGAGTCAAATACACCTGAGCACACCTGCAGAATACTGCTTCATTGATACGGAGGTGTGTCACAGAACCCTTAACACAGCTGCAGAATACAGCTTCATTGATACGGAGGTGAGTGATAGACACTTGAGCACACCTGCAGAATACAGCTTTATTGATACGGAGGTGTGTCACAGACACCTGAGCACAACTGCAGAATACAGCTTCATTAATACAGAGGTGAGTCATAGACACCACGGCACAGCTGCAGAATACAGCTTCATTGATACAGAGGTGAGTCATAGACACCATGGCACAGCTGCAGAATACAGCTTCATTGATACAGAGGTGAGTCATAGACACCACGGCACAGCTGCAGAATACAGCTTCATTGATACAGAGGTGAGTCATAGACACCATGGCACAGCTGCAGAATACAGCTTCATTGATACAGAGGTGTGTCATAGACACCACGGCACAGCTGCAGAATACAGCTTCATTGATACAGAGGTGAGTCATAGACACCACGGCACAGCTGCAGAATACAGCTTCATTAATACAGAGGTGAGTCATAGACACCACGGCACAGCTGCAGAATACAGCTTCATTAATACAGAGGTGAGTCATAGACACCACGGCACAGCTGCAGAATACAGCTTCATCAATACAGAGGTGAGTCATAGACACCATGACACAGCTGCAGAATACAGCTTCATTAATACAGAGGTGCGTCATAGAACCCTTAACAGACACTACGACACAGCTGCAGAATACAGCTTCATTAATACAGAGGTGAGTCATAGACACCATGGCACAGCTGCAGAATACAGCTTCATTAATACAGAGGTGAGTCATAGACACTCTGACATGGCACAGCTGCAGGAATACAGCTTCATTAATACAGAGGTGAGTCATAGACACCACGGCACAGCTGCAGAATACAGCTTCATTAATATAGAGGTGAGTCATAGACACCACGGCACAGCTGCAGAATACAGCTTCATTGATACAGAGGTGAGTCATAGACACTACGACACAGCTGCAGAATACAGCTTCATTAATACAGAGGTGAGTCATAGACACCTCAGCACAGCTGCAGAATACAGCTTCATTAATACAGAGGTGAGTCATAGACACCACAGCACAGCTGCAGAATACAGCTTCATTAATACAGAGGTGAGTCATAGACACCACGGCACAGCTGCAGAATACAGCTTCATTAATACAGAGGTGAGTCATAGACACCACGGCACAGCTGCAGAATACAGCTTCATTGATACAGAAGTGAGTCAAAGACACCACGGCACAGCTGCAGAAGACAGCTTCATTAATACAGAGGTGAGTCATAGACACCACGGCACAGCTGCAGAATACAGCTTCATTAATACAGAGGTGAGTCAAAGACACTTTAACAATTCTAGTGTGTCCCATGGCGAGGAGTAGTGATAATGCTGTGTTCTTGTTTCAGGTGGGGGCGGTGGGGTAGTCTGGTGGTTAAAGCGTTCGTTCATCACGTGAAAAACTCACACGGGTACAATGTGTGAAGCCCATTACTTGTGTCCCTCGCCATGATTTTGCTGGAATATTGCTAAAAGCGGTGTAAAACTAAACTTATTCACTCATTGTTTCAGGTAACTATGACAGGCAAGGTGTCCTTTGCACAGTCCAACCAGATGATCACAACCAATATTGACTCCTACTATCCTATCCTGGGACAGAAGTATGCTGAAGGATTCCGTCTCCTCAGTTTTTACCGCATTCCGTTTGCTGCACTACAACAACACCCGTTCAGCCTTAAGATGGACGTTCCATATCAGGTATATCATAAATAAGTAGAACACACACAATGTGGTGGAGCGTAGTTCTGTGTATTCACTGGTCACAGAGAACAGTTGGGCCGTCTGTAATGTTCCATGTGTTTCTCGTATCAAACCTTGACAAGAGCAGACGGCTTAACAAATGACTAAAAATAAATGTTTGTGCAAGCTGCAGCGGCTGAGTGGGTTAGATTGCTCACTTTGTTTGCTGCGATTAGGTGCCTCACTCCTAGGGTGTGGGTTCGAATCGTGGATGGGACCCAACAAAAGTACGAGAATCTGTACTTTACTGAGAAAGTGTAATCCCAAATCTGTTACATTTGACCACTTCTCTAAATAGAATTGTGTATTCAGATTCTCTTAATTTTTCTAAAAGTCCATTCCTAGAGCTTACTCAGAAGTCACTGGACAAAGGAAGATGCATCTTAATTCCTGTTCAGTCAGTGAAGGTTCTGAATTTGTGTATATTACCTCTATATAGCCTTTTTATTAGACTCAACACATATGTCCAAGTTTTTGTGGTAACATATATTCTACATGGTTTTGCCATTTGTTGTATTGACCTACACTAATCAGGGATTTTCCTCGAGTCCTGTATTTGAGGGTCCCTGAGACTCATACTCTTAATTTTCAGGGGTCTTGGGCGACACAATGGGGGTCCCATACACTTAAATATTAAGATTAAGTTGTAATATTGTTGTAATTCAGTTACTGTTACTGTATTGTGTATCATCACATTGTTACAGTAATTGAATTGGAAATATCAAAACCCAGCTACTAGCAAACTCAGTGATAACTTATTTTTACCTGATTGAAATTTTACAAAACTTAGTGAGACTTTTTCTGCGTCCCTTTGGACGTGCTATTAAATTTCATTGCACCCATTGTCAATTTTTATGCATATAGGACGCAGGAATTCGCGTCCTGTAAATCCCTGACTAATGCTTTTTCTCTGAACGGATATGATGTGGATAGTAACAAATAAATCCATTTAAATTTGAAAAGGAGCCCCAATGAGTTGGGAGATTCAGGTGAACCTTAGGAAAACTAGACTTGATTTATTTAGAGCTTTAGCATTGCAGGGAGGGATAGGCAGTATAGAAAATAATGTGGTTCACCATGCTCATACACTGTGACCATGGTGACTCCTCTAAATGTGCTCCTCTCTGTGAAATGGCCAGTATGAGGGATCTGTGGAATGTGTTTCTTATTTGATAACATCAAAATGTATTTCAATATGTTTAAGGGGCGGTGGGGTAGCCTAATGGTTAAAGTGATTGCTAGTCACACTCATTCAATTCCTCACATGGGTACAATGTGTGAAACCCATTCCTGGTGTCCACTGTCATAACATTGCTGGAATATTGCTGTAGGTGACTTAAAACTAAACTCATTCAATATGTTTAGTGTTAATATTTTTGTAGAATATTTTATTATCTATCCATATACATGTCTGCTTTGTGTGAATATTTCAAAATGTTGACTACATGGCATGGAAAGCTACAATACAGTGGCACTGTTGTTACAATTTTTCAGGGCATCTTCATTCGTCACCCGACTGTACCAAGACTTGAGGCATGGCATCTCCATGTTGTCAAAGCAGTCATGGTTGTTCAAGTTGTACGCCATGGCTTGATCTCTGCCGAAGTTGCCACCGACACGTCACAGATTAATCAAGCCATTGTAGAGAATACCAGCACAGGCGGCCGACTCATTTGTGTAGAAACCACTGGTCTACAAAAGCGCCAGGGGTTTAGGGCCGAAATGCGAGGACAAGGTCCAAGTAAGTGTTGTTTTATATCACAATTCCAATAATGGGGGGGCGGTGGGGTAGCCTAGTGGTTAAAGCGTTGGCTCGTCACGCGAAGACCCGGGTTCGAATCCCCACATGGGTACAATGTGTGAAGCCCATTTCTGGTGTCCCCCACCGTGATGTTGCTGGAATATCAGGGGTGGAAATAACCCATTACCCGACGTCCAAGTCTAGTGTTTTTCTGTCGGGCAAGCAAATTTGTATATCACGCTGTACCGGTGTCCAGTTGACTTTCCAATGTTAATAATGTTGTTAATTTAAAAAATCAACAAGAAAACGGCCGGTATAGTGGGAAAATGATCAGGGCAAGTGATTTTACATGTGCCACTGTACCGGAGTACACTAGCAATTTTAAAGTTATTTCCACCCCTGAATATTGCTAAAAGCGGCGTAAAACCAAAACTCAGTCAGTCAGTCAGTCCAATAATGGGGATGCTTGATGTATTGGACCCATGAAATCCAGGTTAGAATTGATCTTCCGTAACCCATGCTTGTCGTAAGAGGCGACTAACGGGATCGGGTGGTCAGGCTCGCTGACTTGGTTGATACATGTCATCCCATCCCAGTTGCGTAGATCGATGCTCATGCTGTTGATCACTGGATTGTCTGGTCTAGACTCGATTATTTACAGACTCACTATATGCTGTTGATCGATTGTCTGAATCAGACTCGTTTATTTACAGACCGCCGTCTTATGGCTGGAATATTGCTGAGTGCGGCGTAAAATTAAACTCACTAACTCAGTTACTTTACAAAGTGGTCAAATATAAGACATGTTATACTCTCAGTAAAGTTAACATTCTAGTACTTTTGTTGGGTTCATTCCCATCCGGGATTTCAACCCACACACTACATTGATTACAGCTAGGCAGCTAATCACCAGCACATAAAGTCAGCCATCTAACCCACTTAGCCACATCGGCTTCCTGTGTCATTTTGATGTTATTTTGATTTCACATTTCAGTCATGGGTGTTGACTTGTTCTTTGAGATGCCAAGTGTGCCGACAGCTGAGCGTTATGTATACATGTGCGTTCCATGTCCAGTACAGCTGAAAGCCGGACCGTCGTTTGGTGGAACTGGACTAACTGTAAAATGTGACTGGCTGGGAATAATGAAACAATATTTGTCTAAAGGATGGCGGTTGGTGGAAGTGTTCTTCGATGATGGGTTTAAGCATCAGGGCCTTTCAAGGAAAATGGATCTCAACTCCATCTGGTTTTTCGAGAAGCCTATGTCTCGCATGAATGACGACACTGAAGTTTATGAGGCAGTGGTGATAGAGCACTACATTGAGTTGAGGACAGTATGTTGTGGCGGCGTGCGCACCATCCCGAAGTGGGAGCCAGTGATTGAAAGGTTTGGCCGAGAAGGATGGGAGCTTGCTTGCATCGTGGAGACAATGGAAGGTGCACAAACTGGATGTACTACAGCAGAAATTAAAGTGTTTTTGTTCTTTCAGCGGCCGATTCTGCGAGCAGAAGGCAGATGGGAGACTCAAGGGTTTGTGTCAGGTAAAGATCCAATAGAATTCCAGAGTCCACCTCCATATGATGGATGAATGTTCTCTACAGGCTGGGGATGATGGGGTAGCCTATAGTAGTTAAAGCTTTCGCTCGTCATGCTGAAGGTCCTCGCCGTGATATTGCTGGAATGTTGCTAGAATGTTGTTAAAAGTAGCATAAAATCATACTCACTCACTCACTAACTTTGAGCTTATTGTGTAGCAATTTTGGCCATATTCAACCTTTTGAAGTATGAAGGCTTTTACTGGCACAGAAATAAAAATATGCAATGGTGAAATTATCCATGGTACCTAGAAAATGAAAGCACTATACAATGTATACACAAACATGTATGGTTGATGTTTTAAAGGGTACGATGCTCTTGTATCTGACGTGATATGTAGTGATGTTTGAATCCTTTTTTCATTTGTGCTCAAATTATTTCTCCAATATTTATTGATGACCAATATTTGGTTAATGGTCATCTATCTCAATGATTTATAGTGATGGTGATCAGGGCTCGATTTAGTGCTTTGTTACTGGCACTGGTGCACCACAGTATTACAAAGTGCAACCTAGTTATGAGTCTAACTTGCACAAGGTGCAAGTCAATTTGTTAGAAATAAATCACCAGAAATCAAACTTTATAGCACAAATATGTCAGCTTATGTTTCTTCTAAACTTTGAATATCTATGGCACTGAAATATTACTATGCATACACGTTTTGGCTATGACAGCTCTCGTAAACAGGGATCAGCTGTGTCTCTGTGTTGCTATGGTTTCATAGGTACTACATCACGGAAATATGTTTATGTGCACCGAAACCTCTGACGATTTACCACACTACGTTGCAACTGGAATTTGGCTGGTGCGACTAGGTTTTTATCTTAGGTTGCACCTGGTGCAAGTAGATTAACCTCACTTAAATTAAGCCCTGGTGATTGTTGCCTATGCTGACATATAAACAATTTTTTAGTGATCAAAGCACTTGTATTGGGTCTGGACTATATAATAAGTCACGTTTATTTGTTGTTTTATGGCACACAGAGTATGTACAATGTATTTAATACAACAGATAATGATCTGCATTTGTGCCTTACTGTTTGCAGGATATTTTCATGAGATGTAAGCCATGAACGCTTTTGTTGAGTGTTTACATGAGGCAGTAAACTGCTGTTTATTTGTTATCGTTTTGAATACCAACCTTTTGCTTTCATGTATATAAATATATGTATTTTAGCTCACCAGACTAAAAGACAATTTACCTTCTTTTTGTCGGAAGCCTATTGTTCATGCTGAAACTTAATGCCTGTTCCCAGTAATGACGAAACCATTATTTGATCAAGAAATTCAAATCTGATTTCCAATATGGCCGTCACAACATCAAAATTGCAGCCATATTGAAAAACCTATTTATAGTCATTACTTTTTTTTTTTTCAATAAAATGAATGGGTACATGTATAGTTAGTAGTGGAGTTCAATGTATGTTCTTGATGATTATCTTGATTGTACAGAAACTCCTTATGGTTGGTTGGTTTGCTGTTTAACGCCACACTCAGCAATATTCCAACTATATGGCAGTGGTCCGTAAATAATTTAGTCAAGACCAGACAATCCAGTGATCAATAGCATGATCATCGATCTACGGTATTGGGATACGATGACATGTGTCAACCAAGTCAGCAAGCCTGACCACCCGAGCCCGTTAGTCACCTCTTACGACAAGCATGGGTTACTGAAGACCAATTCTAACCCCAATCATCACGGGTCGAAACTCCTTATGGCTAGCGCTCAGAACTTATTGTTCAGCCGAATGACATTTGGTTGAAGATTGGTAAATAGTGGGTCACTACACGTGTTCTTTTTAAAGTATTTTATCTTTCAATATGTTTGAATTTTTACCTTTATTTGACCTTTCTATCAATGATGACATCCCAGTTAGTTCATGTCATCCATCCCATCATCCTTGCGGAAAAATATATTTATTTGTTGAAAATGTAATAATATTTAATTACGTTAAAGTTTTGGCAAACATGGTCCATTTTTTGAAGTGTTATTGACTGTTTTTGAGAGAGAGAGCTTGAGAGGGAGGAATCTGATAATTTCGGTAAAGGCAAAATCTGAGAATCTGTTGAGATAGATAGATAGATATATAGATAGATAGATAGATAGATAGATTGATAGTCTTTCTTCTGTAACATAGGTTGGTGCATTTTTCTGTGAGTTGCATCGCTTGATTGTTCCAGGATCTGTTGGCAATGGATTCCCACAACATTATGATTGTATTATTAATACATGACAATCAAAATGTGGTGTGTAATAAAAATGTTTTTTAATTAAGCCCTGGGCTTAAATATGTGCAGTCCAGGGACATTATAAACAATATTACAGTTTTAAAGGTCATATAAACATGTTTTGATCACACATACTGTTAAAGTTTTTGATTGTTAAATAGAAAAGTAATGTGGGATAAACTTATGATGATGGAAATTTAAAACTAGTTTTGTTTATTTGACTGGCCTGAGGAATTTAATTAATGAACTGATGTTTCAGAATTGTTTCTGATTTTAGCCAATACTTCCTCAAGCTTCTGTCACTGCCTTGTGTTCCATGTTTGACCTTCCCTGTATAGTATGATGACATATTTGAATTTATTTGACACACATCTTGTGTATATATATATATATTGTATGAAAACCTGCCATCACATACTTTTGGTGTTAGGTAAGTTTTCATTTTATCTGGACTCTTTTCCAGGAGTATATTTATATAGCATGTATGTTACTTTATATGTATTTAATTATACCTCTGAGATTAAACATATATATGTATATCTAGAAATATTATCAGACCTTATGAAATATACATGTGTTTGCACATGTCCAATATTTTGCTTTGTGTTTTGTTAACGGACAGTGGGGTAGGCTATTGGTTAAAGCGTTTGCTAGTCAAGCCAAAGGCCCAGGTTTGATTCCCCACATGGGTACAATGTTTGAATCCCATTTCTGGTGTCTCCCTGCCGTGATATTGCTGTAATATTGCTAAAGGCGATGTAAAACTGAACTCACTCACTCTTTGTCAACATACATGTAGTGTTTCCTCTAAGCATTTTGAGCAGGGTGCAGCACCCTGCCCTTTGTATTTGGCACCCTGCCCTTCTTTTAATACAAGAATTTATATAAACACTTTGTTGTTTTATTTTCTGTTTCATTGCTGAAGTTAAGTGAAATAACTGTGTTCTTTGAGCCTTTGAGAATCATATGCAAAAATGACATGATTTTATACTTGGAAATCTCTCATTGCCCACCCTTTTAGGAATAGGGGGTCCCCTTTTGAAATTATGTCACCCTGCCCTTTTAGGAATAGGGGTGCCCCTTTTGAAATTATGTCACCCTGCCCTTTTAGGAATAGGGGTGCCCCTTTTGAAATTATGTTATGTGAGTATTATTTATGGCCGCTTTTAGCAATATTCCAGCAATATCACGGCGGGGGACACCAGAAATGGGCTTCACACGGTGTAACCATATGGGGAATCGAACCCGGGTCTTCGCCGTGATGAGCGAATGTTTTAACCACGAGGCTTCCCCACCGCTCCTTTCCACATTGAGAGTAATGACTTGGTTCTGATGAACACAGAAATAGACTTTATGAATTGTTTATGTCTTCTAAATGCCATCATTTGCCATATGGATTGGTTGATGATAGGATGGATGGGGTGTTGAGTGTTTCTGATTTAATTACCTTGTTCCCGTTTTTATACGACCCTTGTACAAAATACGCATCATGTCGGAAAGCGAATGTAAAATTTCCAAATCATCATCAGTATTTTATGTCAATGATTAAACAGGACGTGACGATATAAATATTCTTGTTTGTTGGAATTAGAGTCCAGTATTACTTTGTGTTTATACAGGTATTAACCCATAAACCAGTGTGCACACTATAAATGCAAAAACATACAGAAGTCAGTTCAATTAAACTTCAAAGGTATTGATCAGCTTCCTCATGTTTCGGTCATACAACCACATCAATTGCTCCCCATTGCGCCAAATGGAATCTTGTTCGGTGTATTATCGACCGGTTATTCTCCGGCCTTAATGCTGTGAATTTAGAGGCCTCAACAAGCTTGCCAGTTTGTCATTGCATGTGTACTAATGTCCATTAAACTAATATATGTATCTCGTATGTCAATTGACCATTCAAGTTTTTGTTTGTATTTAAAAAATAACAGAAATTATGTATTTTAGCCATTTTGTGACAATATAAATTATTGATGTTACATTTTCACAAACTGTTTCCAATAAACAGTGCAATATCCATTTCTAAGTTTTGTTGTGTTTTCACCAGGTCACTTTATAGTTATAAGTGTAATTGGTGTTGTTTTTATTGTTTTGATTCAGAATGGTTGTGGGTGAGTTGTTTCAGAATATGGTTGTGCGTGAGTTGATTCAGAATTGGGTTGTGGATGAGCTGTTCCAGAATGTGGTTGTGAATAAGTTGTTCCATGATGTGGTTGTGGATGAGTTGTTTCAGAATGTGGGTGAGTTGTTTCAGAATGTTGTTGTGGGTGAGTTGTTTCAGAATATGGTTGTGCGTGAGTTGATTCAGAATGTGGTTGTGGATAAGTTGTTCCAGAATGTGGTTGTGAATAAGTTGTTCCAGAATGTGGTTGTGGGTGAGTTGTTTCAGAATGTGGGTTGTGGATGAGTTGTTTCAGAATGTTGTTGTGGGTGAGTTGTTTCAGAATATGGTTGTGCGTGAGTTGATTCAGAATTGGGTTGTGGATGAGCTGTTCCAGAATGTGGTTGTGAATAAGTTGTTCCATGATGTGGTTGTGGATGAGTTGTTTCAGAATGTGGGTTCTGGGTGAGTTGTTTCAGAATGTGGTACTGGGTGAGTTGTTTCAGAATGTGGGTTGTGGATGAGCTGTTCCAGAATGTGGTTGTGGATGAGTTGTTCCAGAATGTGGGTTGTGGGTGAGTTGTTTCAGAATGTGGTTGTGGGTGAGTTGTTTCAGAATGTGATTGTGAATAAGTTGTTCCATGATGTGGTTGTGGGTGAGATGTTTCAGAATGTGGTTGTGGGTGAGTTGTTTCAGAATGTGGTTGTGGATGAGCTGTTCCAGAATGTGGTTGTGAATAAGTTGTTCCATGATGTGGTTGTGGATGAGTTGTTTCAGAATGTGGGTTCTGGGTGAGTTGTTTCAGAATGTGGTACTGGGTGAGTTGTTTCAGAATGTGGGTTGTGGATGAGCTGTTCCAGAATGTGGTTGTGGATGAGTTGTTCCAGAATGTGGGTTGTGGGTGAGTTGTTTCAG